GAACGGGAAAAAATGTCTCTATTCCAATAAACAGCGCAGCATGATATAGAAAAAAAGCTCCAACACCTGAACTAAACCTGGAAACAAAAAAAAGGGAGAAACCAACATAATCGATGACATAATCGATGTTATAAAGGTGAAGAAGACCAAGAAGGAAAGGCTAGGAAAGAGGTTGGTTTATGCCAGAGTGATAGTGCAAAGATGAAAGGACAGGAAGGAAAGACAAGAAAAGGAAATGAATAAGGAATGATGATAAAGTAAAAAAGATGTCAAATAATCAGATAAAGAGTTTCCCCAACGCCAGTACAATGGTATAGGGTATTTCAAGATTCTCAAATGCTCTGATCGTAACAATAGAACTGTCTTCTGTCTAAAAGTGAGCTCTGTGGGGAATGATAAAATGATGATGGATGGGATAGGAGGCGTAAAACATTGGGCACCCGTCGAATTGGGTTGTTAAGGTTGTAAATGTATGGATATCTCGGGGATTTATGTCCGATATATAAGGTTTAGATCCACGAGGCAATTTAATGCGAGGCGATGAAGAGAGAATTGGTGATCAGACACACAATCATGACGACAAAACCGTAGAGGGCCAGGGCAAGACTGAGTTTCCGCAGCAAGGACCGGCGCCAGTGGCGAATGCCTAGTCGGAGGATACCGCTGTCGGAGAGTGGATGGCTGTGAGCGCCGGTGTCGTCATTGTCGCTGTCGCCGTCGTCGGAGAGAATGCCTTCTGTAGCCTCGTCATCTTCCTTCATCAGACGTTGGTGGGTGGGTGAATCGGGAGCGGAGATCTTGTAGTAGAACAGCCCCGGAAGAATGAAACTGATGCTGGTACTTCCCGTGCTACCGACGTAGGCGAGTACCGCCTGTAGGGAGGACACGGTCATGGCGACAACATAACTCAAGACGAGAATCGTCGTGGTGATGACGGAAAACCGAAGGTCGCTCATGGGCTCCGGCTGTCGGTTGCCCCGCGGGCCTAACAGAGGGTGTCGATGGGGAGAGCCGTCGTTGCTATTCGACGATGGCTGGGGCCTCCAACGCAGCACTGCGTCCAAGGAGGCGCGACACGGGTGACATTGTAACGGGTACGAAAACATGACCAACATGACGATGGCTGCACGTCCAATCGTAGCCCAAAGTCCGGGAGGGTACATGCTCACTATGTTTCCGCCAATGTTGTCTCCAAAAGAGAGATAACCAGTGATTGCAACGAGAATGTAGGTTGCAGCAGAGCTTCCAATGCTCGCAAAAACAACCGAGGTAGTCCTAAAGTGACTGGCGTTGGCCATCTCGTTCAAAATCGAGAACATCTGTTATCTTGCATTAGCCAGTCCACCCTCCCGGAGCGATCATATCTATCAAAGGTCGGGTTCATACGTTCTGATGGCATGTAAATGCGAAAACGATCACGGGGAGACTGCTGAGGGTTGGAACCAAACCTGCCCAGTGAACCACCCGGACAGGACCTTTATCGGCCAGCGTGTCTCCCACCACGAAATGGTAAACAACCAACACCACTAAATAGGACATAGAAACCAAGGCAGCGATACTCGTATATTTGAGGGAATCAAGACGTCGGAGGTAGGAAAGCGGGATGACGACCAGCCTGAAGAAGAAATTAGCATACTCCGATTGCTCATCACTGGAGGGGTCGAGTCAACGTACATAAAAGCCGTAACCCAAAAATGTCGATCGACCAAAAAGTCATAGTCCGGAGAATCACCAACAAAGCCCTGAACGACCCCCGGCATCAGATCGCCAATGATGATGAGATAACTGACTCCCACGCCAAAACATTTGATCGCGATTGCCGCGTCGAACACTACGGCGGCATTGGGGTATGTGATCTGGGATAGAGCGAAGAAGGACGCCTGTCCTCGATCCAAGTACTGGGCACAGCGTGACTGAAGGTATAAACCAAAACCAGCCGTCACGCCCGACCATAAAACCACGCAAACTCCGAGGACAATTCCCATGTGGGAGACGGCCAGCGGCATGGCAAGGACACCGGCCCCGATAACTAACACGCCACGATCGGATCAGCGAGAGTCCAGCGGACGAGGACAAGAGAATAAGGCGACTCACTCGTATTGACCAGATTGATCACACAGCTAACCCAGCTGGCCTGGCCTTCATGTCCAGAATCGCGTTTCCCTCTGATTGCGCGCCTGCGAGAAGCCCCCCTGTTAGTCACAAGACCAGCCCGAGAAGCGCAGCAGAACGACTAGGAGAGAAATAAAAAGCATACCTTCGAGCTGCATTGCGAACACCATCTGCGGGACCAAGCCCGACGGCCGCTTCGTCGTCCAGCATTGTGGGGAGTCGTCGAGGCACACGACGTCACGTACGAGACAAAAAAAAAGTGTTATCAGCCGAGCCCAGTTGCGATGGCGGCGATGAACATAATAGCCACTCGGACCAGCGAAGCAGCCAGGAAGGAGAGGAGAGCAGTCGAGAGAGACGGAGAAAGAGAGGACAGGAGAAAAGGAGATACAGTCAAACAAAGGAAGGAAGGGAAAGGGAAAGGAAAGACGGAGAGACGGGGGTGGAGGTCGAAGTAGGAGAGATAAGACCCTGGAATCGGCGGGCGATACGAGCAGAGAGAAGGACAGGTGGGAGTGGCGGCCTCGGGGGGCTTTTAATGCCTGCTGACTCCGCCTCTGGTCCCTTTTTCCCTTGTGGTTCTGGTTTCCCATTTCCTCTCCCTTATCTAATTCTCTTATTCGCAAAGGGAAGCCAAGACGTCGCAATAGTTCTCATTATCTAATAAATATCATCCATCCACTTCTACACCGTTTTTCTCTCTCACAGCTTGGCTGCTCCCCATCCCTTTTGCGACAACAATCCGTATACTTCGTCTTCCAGCACGTTCATGTCCGAGACGGTGTTGCCAGCCCTATCAGCGGGTCCCGGATCGTTGAACGTACTGACCGACCGCACGGTTTTCGACACTTCCAGCACCGTTCCTCCCCCGACCAGGAACTGGGGTCCCTGACCCGATTGGTCGCCAATGATTTCACTAACGCGGTCTTGTTGGATGAGCGCCAGCATGACTTGACCGACCTCGTCGGGTGTCACCCATTCATCCGCCTTATCATCCACGATCTTCAATTTCTCCGGATGATCCGTCCACAAGGGGGTTTTAATTACCCCTGGCGCTACGGCGGTGACACGAATCCCAAATTTCCGGTCAAGCTTGGCTAGAGACCGTACAAGGCCGTTTATACCGTGCTTGGTGGCCACGTAGATCGGGGCTGCCAACGCGGGATTCTGGGCAGCGATGCTTGAAATGTGCACAATATGCTTGCGTCTTCCGTTGGTTCGGCGACGCAGAAAATGGGAAATCGCTAACTGAGTTGTACGGATCGGATGCGTCAGGTTGATGTCCAACAAGGCATATCGGTCCCCGTGTTGCGCATCCCGGCTGTCGGGCGTTCCAGGCGGGCGCCAGAAATTTGTCCAGTGCTGAAGGAGGTCAGCGATCGATTATGTTAAGACTCAGAAACGTCCGCAAAATTGGAGCAGCCATACCGGCTCGTAGATCCCAGCTCCTGGACACACGACGTCAATCTCTCCGAATTCCTTCTCGGCCACCTCAAACATCTTCTCCAATTGCTTCCAACTGGTCACGTCGGTCTTCTGGAAGACAGCCCGAGGAGTAGAGGTCGAGTAGCGATCGACTATCACCTTTGCTTCGGGGCGCAGAGCCAGGTCGGCGATGAGAACATTGCATCCATTCTCGAGCAGCAGTCTGGCAAAGGACAGGTTGATTCCTGTTTTGTTGCAGTTAGTTTGGCGACGTATACATCTTGTAGAGCTTCAGTTATCGTCCACATACCTGAACCAGCACCGGTCACGATTGCAGATCGTCCATTGACGGAGAACGACATGGTGTGAGAGGAAAGTGGGATGGGTTGGAGATATGTAGCAACGCCTCTGCTGGGCTGGAGCGGGCCGCGTTGGCTATTTATATCCCGGCTCCATACTTGTGTACCCCCGGAGGCTGTGACCAGAGCGTCGCGGGGAGACTGCGGGTTACGCAGGCCGTGGCTCCAATAACCGGAACGGACAAGCATTGAGGGGATTCGCGGGGCTGCATTGACCCGAGGATGAGCTTAGCAAGTGGGCCGAACCGGACAGAAGACCGACTCTGCAGACTGCGGTCTTGTTCAACATGCGGGTATGAATGGTTTCGAGCTGCTAGAAGGCCCCTTTTGCTGAAAACATAAAGCTGGTAGTAATCCCTGGACCGGTTGGTTCTCTGCACATCTCTTGTTGCCGCGGGATAGACCCCAAGTTGCTGAGCAGCGAAGCGATGCTTCTGGATCTTGAGTCGACGATGCTTGGCGCAGGACGAACAGAGTAAAATCCCGACGTCCTGATCAATTTTACTGGGTCCATGTACGTGTGTCTACGGGGTACGGAATACGGTGTATACCAGGCAGGTATCTCGCCATGAGTTGTCCCTATGATCTGTCCGACCTTGTGACCAGCGCCGGCCTTGGCTAGATGCTATCGCCCATTAACAAGTGCAGCTCTGCCACCCTGCAGGTCGATGGTGGATTCATCTACGGAGTAGACTTCTTATCTTCCTCTCCGTGCCTCACTGGATGGAGTATTCTGGATTGTCGCTACCAAAAGAGCCAGTCGGACTAGCCATGAGCCATGAGCCATGAACCATGGACCATGTGCGCTTACGGAGTACAAACAAAGAGAATGAACAGGAAGAATACGGAAGATACTACCGACCACCACCGAGCCCATTGGAAGAGCGTCACTGGCGTCATACCCCCGACTCTCTCCAAAATCGGATAGCTTACCCATTCAGGAAATCGGGCCGATTTCCGCATTAGGCTCCCCGAAAGTCTCCGCATAGATCCAACGCCCTTTGAGGGAGATCTCCACGCATATAAAGATGCAATGCCCTACAAGGGGGCTGGGGAAGATTGAACCAATCTCTCAAGAATTATTGAGTCTACCTCATCATGTCAATGTCAAACTTTCTCTCGAAATCGGCCGTCCGAGCCGCTTCAACGTCGGCTTCCTCGCCCATGACCAAGGCCGCGGGCGATATCTCCAGCGTTTTCCCTAGTTTAAGGCCAGACTACAAGCCGGAGCCATTGCCTCCTCGATTCAAGAATTTGAAGTCCGAATACTTCAACAAGAATGAAGAGGCCTTGAAAAAAAGCTGGAAACGACTTCTTCCAAGCCTGGAGGAGGAGGTCGATAAGATTAAGTCGAAAGGGAGCGATGTAAGCAGGCAACTCCCTAGTATCTATGATAGGCTGTGAGACTAATTCACGTTCAGATTATCCCTTCTGTAAACTATGCGGACGTGGTATCGGGAACGGTGCCCGATGAGATTCTTGCCGAAATCCGTCACCGTGGCACCGTGGTCATCCGAAATGTCTTGCCTCGGAAGGAAGCTCGAGAATATAAGGACCGCATCCAGGACTACGTGGCTGCAAACAAGGAGCATGTGAAGGCCTTTCCCCCAGACTCGCCGGCAGTATATGAATTGTATTGGACTCGTCCGCAGGCGGAAGCACGAGCCCATGCCAACATGCTCGGTACCCAAACTTTCCTGCAGCGCCTTTGGCATTCCTCGGATCCGCGCACGCCCATCTCTACCAGAAACCCTCTGACTTATGCGGACCGGCTCCGTATCAGAGAGCCTGGTGATTCTAAGTTTACTCTAGGGCCCCACATCGACGGCGGCTCGCTGGAACGATGGGAAGATCCGGAATATTCTCGAGTGTATACTAAGATCCTCGAGGGCAAGTGGGAGGAATATGATCCGTGGGATGCCAAGCACCGCGTCACGGCGCAAATGGACCTGTATAACGGTGCTGGAGCATGCTCTATGCTGAGGTTCTTCCAGGGCTGGCTCTCCATGTCCCACACCGCGCCTGGCGAAGGTTCCCTGCATGTCTGTCCCATGCTGGTCCACAGCACTGCATACACCATTCTCCGTCCTTTCTTTGACCCCGAGACCTCGCAAGCTGTGATGGATGCCACATTCCCGGGATCAGTCCCTGGTGCTTGCCAGGAGTACAATCCCGTGACGCATCCCCACCTGGATCTGGAGACGACGATGGTGTCTGTCCCCGAGGTTGAACCCGGTGATTACGTTGCCTGGCACTGCGACTCCCTGCACTCGGTGGACAAGGAGCATCGCGGCACGGGTGACTCCAGCGTGCTCTACATTCCGGCGACCCCCATGTGTGATATGAATGTAGAGTACTTGCAGAAGCAGCGCGAGGCGGCTCAGAGCTACTCTCCTCCCTGGGATTTCCCCGGTGCCGGTAGCCCCGGAGAGAGCGGGTTTAAGGGCGCTTTGGATTGGAACTCTGTGAACCCAGAGGGTCTGCGTGCCATGGGCTTTGGCAATAAACCTTGGGAGATTACTCCGGACATGAGTGAGGGTGAAAAGCGAGTTGTGGAGGCGGCCAACAAGGCCTGTTTCGGCCAGGCCTGAGACAATTGGGTTTACCTTTGGAATGCTTTTGTATACTTGTAAATATGTTCTGCGTCGTGATGCACTCTAGCCAAAATCTGTAGGATGTGTACTGTTAACTAGACCTGTTGGAAATAGTAAATAGTTATTTGCATTGTGAGTGGACATCGGCCGTAGGCGGTCTACCGACCCCAAGCCGGCCTAAGGCATACTAAACCGCCCGGTACATCACCATTTCGCCATTTCCACGCCTTCGACTCCTCCCAACCAACCCACGCCTTCATGATCAATTTCGACTCGAGGTCCTAATCATGCGGCTACAGGCGGCGCTTCTTCTGCTCGCCTCGTGCGTGCCCTCGACGTGGGCCATCTACCCCGACGAGGTCAACCATATCGATTTCCACCATGCTCTACTCGGCGCCCCCTCGTCCCAATCGACCTTCTTCCTCAAACCCTCTACCTCCTCTAACGCTTCGCTCCTCTACACCCTGTCGGAAAAGTCGCTCCTCGGTGCTGTGAACCCCCGCGACGGCTCCGTGGTCTGGCGACAGAATGTCTCGCGAGCCTCGGGGCCGGCCGACCACGGTGCTGCCCCGATCCTACGTGCGTCTGACGGAACCAACGCTTTGGTCAGCGCCGTGGGCGACTACCTTTCGTCGTGGAGTGCTCTAGATGGGAAACTGATCTGGGAGAACTCGTTTGCCCATGAACCCGTGGCCGATCTGGAGCTGTTGGAGCTGCAGGATGCCGGTGCCGCGGAGGCCGCTGCCAAAGACACGATTGCGCTGTTTGCCGGAAAGTCTGGAGTGGTCAGAAAACTAGATGGAGACTCTGGAGATGTGAAGTGGGAGTACAAGGATGAAAGGTTCGGCTCCGATGGCTTTTGATCTGTGTGGATGAAGACACTTTAGTCTTGATTCTTTTTCACGTTCTTTGCTGACAGTTATGGCTTGGATGCTGAATCTAGTGGTGACCTTCCCTTCCAAGTCTCGTCCTCCGCTACCGAGATCTTCTACATTTCGCTTCAATCGGCCCTGCTGAAGGGCTCCAAGATTAAGGTCACTTCGCTGGATCCATTGACCGGTCGCCAGAAGCAGCAGGTGACGCTAAACTCGGAGGGCGATGTGACCGGCCCGGAAGCTGTCCTCTTCGTGGGCGCCAATACTGCCGCTCCGTTGATTGTCTGGACTGATAAGGCAAAGAAGGTGTTGAAGGTCAACGTGATCGGCTCTAAGTCGGTGAGCTCGCTGAACATCGAGAACACCAGCGGCGAGGAAACCCGGTCGGCGACCGTTCATGCTCCCAATAAGCTCAACTCGCTTCCCCATTTTCTGGTGCACTACCAGACGGACTCTAGCTCCTGGGCTGAGGTCTACCACGTGGATTTGAAATCGGGCGCCGTGTCCAAAGCGTACAGTCTCCCTCGTCTGCCTGGATGGTCTGTTTTCGCGACCAGCAACAAGGATGCGAATGTTTACTTCACCCGCATCACGCCCGTTGAGGCGTCCGTCGTTTCGTCGGCTTCCCATGGTATCCTGGGAAGATGGCCCTTGCAGTCGCGGCCCACTGAGCGAGCTGTTTACGCCGCTTCCGAGGTGGTTGCCAAAGGTGGCTCCGTGGCCGTCCGGTCGGCGGCCGTTTTGGCGTCGGGCGATTGGGAGTTGATCCGCAATGGTCAGACCGAGTGGACCAGATATGAAGCTTTGTTCGGAGCCTTGGCTGCTCAGTGGGCTGAAACGGACGACCAGGAGGATCTGGCCCATGAGCTCGAAGTGGAGGGCCACGAGAGCCTCTACGGAGCATACGTGCATCGGGTCAAGCGCCACGCGAAGGACCTTCAGCATCTTCCCGACTGGCTGAAGGAGCTGCCTAAGCGCGTTCTCACCAGCTTCTTGACTGACGAGGTTTCGAACCTCGATGGATTCGGACTGTCTAAGCTCGTCATAGTCGCTACCGAGAATGGACGGGTCTATGCCCTCGACACCGGCAAGCACGGCTCTGTTTCTTGGAGCGTAAAGGCCACCGAAGCGGATTCATGGAACGTCAAGGCAATCGTCACTCAGCCTGGCTCTACCATCGTGTACGCCGACGACGGTAGCTCCGTCAAGTTGAATGTCACCTCCGGGGGCATCATCGACCGCTCGCCCGCTAGCACCAAGATCCGCTCCATTGCCATCGTCAGTGACGAGGTGGCTCCGCTCACCATTGGCATCCAGGAGAACGGCGCACCAGTGAGATCGGTGGACCGTCCTGGCTTCTTCGTGACCCTAAGCGACGACGACCGAGTTCTCGGATGGAGTGCCAAGGATAACAAGAACCCCATCTGGGAGTTCTTGCCTGCTCCCGGCCAGAAGATTGTCCACGCAACCGCCCGGCCTGCTCATGACCCCGTGGCCTCGATTGGCAAAGTCCTGGGTGACCGATCGGTACTCTACAAGTACCTGAACCCCAACTTAGCCCTCATCACGGCCGTGGGCAAGAACTCCGCCAGCTTCTACCTGCTGGACGCCATCACCGGCAGAATCTTGTACACTACCACCCAAGACGCCGTCGACACCCATCAGCCCATCGCCTCGGCCATCTCCGAGAACTGGTTCGCCTACTCCTTCTGGGGTGACGTCTCCGACGCCTCCGACGCCAAGGGCTATCAACTCGTCGTGTCGGAGCTCTACGAGTCTTCCATCCCCAACGACCGTGGCGATCTCGGCTCCGCATCCAACTACACCAGCACCGCTCTCCCCCTTCCCCACGTCATCTCGCAAGCCTTCGTCATCCCTGAGCCCATCTCCCACATGGCTGTCACCCAAACCCGCCAGGGCATCACCACCCGGCAGCTCCTCTGCACCCTCCCTGCCACCAACTCCCTCGTCGGTATCCCCCGTCCCGTCCTGGACCCCCGCCGCCCCGTCGGCCGCGACCCGACCGCCGTCGAGGCCGAAGAAGGCCTCTTCAAATACAACCCCTTGCTCGAGTTCGACGGCAAATGGTACCTGTCGCACTCGCTTGACGTGGTCGGTCTCACGACCGTGCTATCCAAACCCACCCTGCTTGAAAGTACGAGCCTGATCTTTGCGTTTGGCGGCGACATCTACGGCACGCGCGCGACACCTAGCCAGGCGTTCGACGTGCTCGGTAAGAGCTTCTCCAAGGCGCAGTTGCTCCTGACTATCGTGGCGTTGAGTATCGGTGTGGTGATTCTGTCGCCGATGGTACGTTCCTCCTTCCTCCCTTCCTTCCCCTTTCTCTCCCCAACCCGACCATATCTATGGATGTGCATCTATAAATATTCTCCGAACTTCACTAATGAACAAACTCCAATCCATAGGTCCGATCGAAACAAATCAACCAGCTTTGGAAGGCCGGTTAAAGTATCGCTAAGCCTTTCTTTCCTCTTTTCTTCAGCCATCTTATAATCTTTCTCGTTAAGATAGTTTGAGGATTGGGATATGTTTTCTCTTTCAATGCGAATGAAACGTGTAGGATACATAAATCAAGAATTTACGTGAATATTATATAAATCAATCAATCAATCATCACTCAAAAATTACGGCAGGGAATTGGTCTCAATCTGAATTTAGTGTGTTTGAGTTATGTATAGACTATGTATGAACTACCTATAACTAACCACCTAGTGCCAAACAATTAAAGTCAAAACATATACCCAGTAAATAAATGAGTAGTTCTCTTTCTCTAACTCACATGACTAGCAGGTAACTATCTTTCCAACTAATTACCAAACATGAAAGAAACCACACAATATAAACAGAAAGAAAGATGCCTATTCTAATGGATTATAATATCTTGGTCTAAGAGGCATGTATATCAATCACCCATCACCCTTTCCCGAAACGTTGCAGGAATCCCTGTTTAATAACAGAGACAAGAATAAAAACAAAAACAGGGTACTGATGGTAGGTAGTAGAAAGCAGACCCGCGGGAGGAAAAATTTCTAGATGTTCAACCGAAAGAAAAGAAGAGAGGAAAACAGGATTGTATAATAGCCGAAATAAATGGGGTGGGGGAATGTATGAGAATAGAATGAACAACAACAGATGAACTTGATGTGACTGTACTTTTCCCTCGTTCTTCTGCCAACGGCCAGATATGCAAATAGGTCAAGTATATGGGGTAAGTAAATAGAGGAAGTGGTCATGATGAACGGGATGGAAATGGTGGGATAGTCTTTCCTTAGATGATACCACTTCTGAGGAAAGATAGGAAGAAAAAAGGGAGGGAGGAAATCAAACAGAAAGATGAAAGAGAGAGCACCCTAGGCAGAAACAGTCTGCGTCGGCGCCTCAACATCCCCATTAGCCTGCTTTTCCGCAGTGACATCGTCGGCGCTCACTTTTTCGTTCTCGGTCGTCTCTGCGGGCTTCTCCGCCGGGGTATCGTTCGATTGAGGCTTCTCCGGGTCGGACTTTTCGGCCTGGGCCGGGGCGGGCGCGGATTCGGGCACGGGAATATTCGACTTGCGACTTTCTCCATTGGCCTTGCCTAGGATTTCGATGTGATCGCCATGGAAGAGGACCGGTCCTTTCAGAAGCGAGGGCTTGGTTTCGCCCTCGGCAGGGGGCGTTTCCAGAGGGCTGAGGACCTCACGGGCGGGCTCGTCCAGGTTGGGCATGTCGTTCCATTGCCAGTCGAGGTCGCCGCCGTATTGCTTGGGGATGCTGGACAGGTCCATGAATGAGGAGAGGGTGGGCTTGACCTCGGCGGCGGAGAGGATGAAGATCTTAGAGGTGGTGCCTGGGTCGAACCAGCGCTTGATCCAGCCCCAGACGGTAGGGAAGAATGCCGGTGCGCCGATGATCTAAAGGACGAGTTATGTTAGAGAGTGCATTAATCGGAGAGCGATCGAAGAAGTTGAGGAACCTACAAAGATTCGATCCAGAGTCTCAGGGTAATGCGCTGTCGCAAGAACACTGGCATCCTGCATGTGTGACTTCAGGTTCCAGAACTGCTTCAAACCGACGCCGCTCACGTCAACGATGTTGGTCGAAGTCACAATGGGAGCCTCGGGGTTCGGTCGCGACAATCGCGTACACAAAGGCATGACGAAACGAAGCAGATTCTCGTAGAGAGCGAACAGCCGCAACAGACGCTGTGGCACCTTGGAAGATTGGTGGGTTTCCGCCGTCGCACCGGCGGAGTTCATGGTGGACATGTACTCGGCCATGTTCTTGTTGTCCAAGTTTCGAATCTCGAAAACATAGATGGGAATTCCACGCTTGTCGCGACGACCCGTCCATTGGGGGTACTAAGCAACCGAAAGACCGTCAGCCATCAATCGCAGAGAAAACGCAGATTCGCGCCCCGCAAGAAGCAAAGCAAACTCACCATCCGCCTCGCAGCCTCATACGAGTTGACATCGATATTCTCATACAGCGATTCGATCGCGTTCTCCTTGCGCCATTCCTCGGTATCCTTGAACTGGTTCCAAGCGCCATCTAGATCGAACTTCCGCGCGCGGAGGAACCGCCTATCGTCCGTGCGCCGTCGCATTAGCCCAAGTAAATAAACCCCTCCAGGTATACACCGGCATTCGGCGGAACAGCCCAACACAGCTCCAAAACAGATAATAGTAGTCTCGGGGAAACATACAGGAGCGTCGCATCCTCGTGACTAGGTTTTCCCTCCCCCGCGTCGGCCTTGTAGTATCCGGTCTCCTCGCACCGTTTCTTGAACTCCTGCAGGCCTTTCTCTTGCTCCTCGGTCAGATGATTGGGGTGACCGGCCAGCCATGCCGTCCCTGCGGCCTGGGAAGCTGAAGCGACCGGGTCGTTCTTGGGGTCGGACTCGCTAGGGGTCTGGCTATGGTTGGATTTCGTCCGCCACAAAGGCATTTTCGGCTGATATATGAGATTCTTGCGGGAAAATGTACAGTGTCGAACAGTAAGGGGTCACAGAGTTAGGAAGACAGCGAGAAAACAATTTCCGAGGGAACGGAAGGTTTGTTTGCTACTGCACAGGCGGATTCTTCTTACTCCGTTGCTGAGTTGGTTTGCGAGATCAGATCGTGCCGAGGGGAATTGGGTGGCGGGGAGAAACACGAGGGGAGGGAGAGATGAAATGAAGTACCCAAGCTACGTAGATGAACAAATAGGATAACGTGACAGAGCAGCAGCCTGGAGTGGAAAAATCAAGAGGGAATGGAATGGAGAGCAATGAAGATGAAATGTTGGGGAATTCCATTAATCAATGAACCTCCGCGAGACCACGTGCATAAACTGCTGATGTCAGCATGCATAAAGTTCACTCTCATTTTGTGCCCAACGCGAGATGCCTCAACTACGAAAAACAAGAATGATGCAAGATCAAACGGCTTTTTGGTATTCCTGCTTCAATCAAAAGCAAACAAACTATTATAAGTGGAACAAATAGAAAATGGTGCATCAAAGACCCCATCATAAATCGCCAAACCAAGAATGTCGAAGATACAAAACATGGGAGAAAAGAGTATCTGTACAGACAATTTCCGTCAAGCTCACATATCCCGGTGACCAGTCGTTTAGTCTTCCGTCAGATCACCATACTCCCACTGGCCTCGTCGCTCATCCTTCGCCTCGTTCTCGAGGGTGCGCAGGTGCGAGATCGTGTCCGACGCAGCGCGTTCCCAGGCCTTCAGCTTCTTAGGCACCATGGCGTATCCCTCTCGGACGACGTCGGCGTTGATGCTGTGATCTAGGTTCTTGGACTCAGCGGGATCCAACAGAGTGACGTGCAGGGTTCCCTCGGGCGAAACGTAATCGACGTTAGCGACCAACTCACGGTTGGCGGTCTGCTCCTCAAGGAAGCCAACGGCGTCCGCAAGGTAGTCGGCAGACACGGGGAACTGGACGAGAGAAAGCACAGCATCCACAGCTTGCGCACGGAGCTTCTGGACGGAGAACTGGGGCTGGCTCAAGGGTCGCAGGCGGGACCAGGGCACCACCTCGGAGTTACCAAAGTCGATGTAGACAACCTCAGCCTGCTTGTTGTCGCGGTCGTTCCGGCGCACCTTAGCTCGGTACCACTCGTTGTCCTCGGTGAACCTGGCGGCCACAAACTCGCCAGCCTTAGGAGGGCCGGGCAGCGGAGTCTCGTTGGCCTTGTTCAGGTGGAAGGAGCGGAAGGCGCTCATCAATTCCGTCAGGGCAGAGGTGCCGGTGCCGATCTGCTGAAGCTTGACGCGAGCGTTGGCGGGGTCAACGTAAGTGACCACCACGTCACGGTAGTCCTTGCGGCGGGAGGCAGCCTCGGTCTCAGTCCCGCTGTTACCGTCAACAGGCTCTTCCTCGGCCTCCTCCACATCCTTGCTAGGGTCCCAGTCGTGCCAAAGTCCCTTGCGGGCCTCCTTGGCCCTCTGTTCAGCAGCAAAGTACTCGGTGGCATTGCCAGATTGCTCCGCGGAGTACGCATGGACGGTGGCCAGACCCTCCTCTAGAAGAACCTTGGTGAAGTTCTCCTTGTTGATGTACAGGGTACCGATGAAGCCACCGACCTTGTCGATGGTCTCAACGTCGATCTCGGCATCACGCTGCATGCAGCGCTTGTTGGCCAACTCGTGAGCCTCGTTGCCAAACGGCTCGGACGCGTCGCCGGGGTTGCGAGCAGACCGGGGAGCACGGATGCCCGACAGGACCAGGGTGAGTTTGGCGTTCTCGCGCGGCACGAGAACCGTGAAACGCGATCCTGATTTGACGAAATCCACGATGGCAGGAACACGCTTCTGACGCTGAAGAATGGAGACTTCCATCTTGGCCTTTTGTACGCTTTCCGAGTAGTCCTGGTACTGCTTCGTCTTGGGGGGCTTGGGGGACCACATTCCCTTGGCCTCCTTCTGGGCCTCGGCCTCGGCGATCAGCAGGTCGTCATAGTCGGGAGAGCGGTCCTGGTCATCCTGGCGGTGGCGGATCACAGAGGCGTATCCGGCTTCGACGAGCGCGAGCGAAACGTTAGTGTTACCGTGAATGACCGTGGCAACCTCTCGTTCCTCATATCCCTCGTTAGCCGGCTTCTTGCCGTTGATGGTGACCTTGACGTGCTTGCCGATGACCTTCTTACGCAAGAACTCCTTCGCGTCGGCGGCAAAGGGGGCCTGCTTGGGGTCAGAGGGCTTGGGCTGGCGAGTGCTGCTAAGACTGATCTTCTTTTCCTGGCCGGCCTTGTTGCGGATGAAAAGGGTATCGGCGTTCAGCACGCGGCTGACGATGTAGTCCTGTTCGGCCCCGCCCGCAAGACCCGGAGAGGCGACTAGACCGGTGAACAGACCCTTCCGGGCATCCTTAGCAGCCTTCTCCGCGCGGCGGAAGAGGGCCATGTTGGCTCCGAGGAGAGGGGTGTGAAGGTCGTGGCAGCGGGCCAGACCGGCCTCCAAAAGGAACTTGGCGATGTTACCATTCGGGTGCAAGACAGTCGCAATCAGCTGACCCTGCGGTGTAACGCCCAACAGAGACACCTGAACCTTGCGCTGCAACACTCTCGATTCGACGAACTGGTGGGCCTCGTCACCAAACGGCTCAGCAGGCTGCTCCTTGCCGTCGGCAGTCACCCGCTTAGCAGCCGGGGCCCGGACACCGGCGACCGCAGCAACGACCTGCAGATGTTCTTGCGGAGAAAGCAGCAGACGGAGAACCAATCGGTCACCGTTCAGAACTCGCTCCACAATGGCCTCGAGGTGCTTGTCCTTCCATTCTTCGACCAAAGCCTTGCCGTCCGACAACTCGTAGCTCGTCTCAGTGAGGCCCTTTTCGGCACCAGCCCAGACACCCTTGTCCTCGGACTTGGCGTGGTCTTCTAGTGCGCGGAGGCGTTCGAGCAAGGCGGCAGTTTGTTCGGATTCGTCGGCCCGCTTGCCAGCCTCTTCACGGACGCGGACCCATCCTTCTTGGACGCAAATGTCAGGCAGGGAGACATCGAAGGTCGGGAGTTTGATCGTGCCGTAATCACGTTTGGCGCCGGTGGGGATGGTGTAAAGAACTTGGAATTTAATCACTTTTCCGACTAGGAGCTCTCGTAGGAATTCACGGGATTGGAAACCGTACGGCTGCAGGAAAGTAGAAGGGTTAGCTCAATTAGATCTTGCATTGTCTCAATTGGATGGAAAGCAACAATGAAGGCGAAAAGAGACATTTTCAACATGAGTTGGGAATGGACGTAGAGAAGGCAGAAGGGTGATAATAAGCATTGAGACCCTCGACAAATCCAACGGGGAGTAACTGAAAGAGTTGCGGAGAGCAAACAAGGTGAATGGGAAGGTAAGCATGATAAGCACAATGAACTTACTTCATCACCTTCTCGGCGCAGTCTCGGCGCTGAAACATATGCCAAACTGAGGATGCGTTCCTGTCCGGGGTTGGTGATGTGCGACAGGACGACGGTGTCGCCTGACAGGACAGATTTCACGCGAGCTTCCAGAGTCGTCATGCTGGAAAGCGGTGGGAATCACAGCAATTAAAAAAGATTGACAAACCTGGGCAAACCAGGATGAAAGATGAAAGAACACGGGATAAACTCAACAGGAGAAAAAGAAAGACGGGGGAGAGGAATGCGGACAATCGATGGGGAAGAAGGAAGTTGACGGAGTATGCCAGAAGCAACGTGGTTGGAAGGAGAAAGGGGAGCTTGGGCCTAGCCGCACACACCTGACTTGCGCCGTTTTGTGGGGGAGGCCACCATTAACCATTAAACATCGCTGATCCTTTTGCTATATGTTTATTGCCTACATTTCAACTTCACAATTAGACAAGATAACCATGCATTACAACGTCCGTTGAATTCGTCAGTCCTATACATTCTCTAGTTCTGCTTTTCCCAGGGCCAAATCATTATGCATCCTGTTGGTCCACCGGGAACGACAACATAAAATATCCATATCAATCAAAGAATCAATCTGGTCGCTTCAGAAGCTTCCAATTTTGTCCTAGTACTTCAACATCCTAGATTGCAACATTACGTGATATTAATTTACGCAGCAATGCCGATGACACCTAGAACAGGAGAAGTTAGTGTCCCTCATCCTCTAATTGCGTTCGCCCTTCAAGGATCACACTTACCGCAAGCAGGGCGGGTACCAGCGTTACCGGTCTTCTTGGACTCCTCGTTGTCACCACGGCCAAGGTCATCAGTACCGGAGTGGACGACCAGGGTGCGCTACTCCACGTTAGCCGCTCAAGATTCTACATGCACGATCCGAGGAATAAGAAGAGGAACTTACGCCAAGAACGCTCTCGGAGCCAATCAGCTTAACAAGCTTGTCCTGCTTGGAGCCGACGGCGTTGCCCTCAGCGTCGGTCTTGAAGTTACCAAGGTCACCGACGTGACGGTCAGAGTCATCGGGGGCACCGTGGGGCTTGCCGAAGGGGTTGACTAACGTGGAAGGTTAGCATTCCCGCCTGCTTGCTAGCGGAGTCGATGGGTCTTTCTGCACGTACAGTGAGGGCCGGCGGAGGTGCAGCCGTTGGTGTTGTCACCGAACTGGTGAACGTGGAAGGCACGCTCGGCGTTGGCGTCGTTGCCAGTGATGTTCCACGAGATGGTGGTGGGGACGTTAGCATCGGCCTGCTCGAAGGTGACAGTGCCGGAGACCTTAGCGTCACCACGGAGGACAGCAACTAAACAGCATTTCCCATTAGCTTGCCGTGGTGGTCACTCGTTCGCCGAAGCTTGCAAAAATGAAACGAAAAAGAAAAAAAAACATAAGAAAACATGGTCTGGAGCGGTGGGAATGCTTGATCACCACCAGGGACGAAGGCACCAAGCTCAAACAGGGAAAACCATAATAGCCAGATGCCAGCCAGAGCCGCTGACCAAGGGTTTCCCCTCTTTTCTGACTCTGATATATCAAGCAACAGTCCGGGGTAGGCGCCCATGATAGGCCAAGAAGGCCTCTGAGAGGAGGGGGGTTCGTTCACAAGGTGCTCAAATCTGCTCACTCAAGGTCCTCCAGCCACCGGTCGATCGTGGATCCCTCGAGCGAAGCACCAATAACAGAGGGGAATGCAATCAGATAATCGAAAGCAACGGTTACGTACCAGCCTTGACCATTTTGACGGTTTAGATGAGGAGAGAGATGGTTTCTTTGGGGATAGAAAGGGGAGGATTGAATCGAGTGGAGAGGGAAGAGAAGAAAGAAGAGAGAAGAGCGAGCGAGAGGGAAAGAGGAGCAGCAAGAAGTAGTTGGGAGCAACGAGGGGTAATTCTGGCGGGTGCGGTATTACGCACACCCGACATTTGGGTGGGAGATGGACTGAATGAGTGGTACTGACAGAGTCATTACATGGTTACCGACTTGTCCTCCCCCCACTTGGCGGGGTTCTCCCGGGATGACGTTCGGTTTGTGTAGTTTGGCTTCTTCCGGCGATTCCTAAGCACCGAGAGTCCAGATCTGCCGTCATCTGGCGAGGACCCTTTCTGTATCAACCCCGGCGTGGCCTACGGATACCATTTCCTCTGCGGAAAGGAAGAGTTCCTGGATGCATGCAACGCTGATTGACGTATGTGTCTCTATCGACCTACCTACATCTTGGCGCAAACACCTCGAGACGGAGTTCGTGGCCCTCGGTTATTCACGTCGTGCTTGACGGCTCGAGCACGCCATGCTGCGTGGTGTACGGAGGACCTCCCTAAGGTAGCCTCGTGGATACCTACTGAGTACCGTCCAACTCCACTTCTTACTGTAACTCAACCTGGAACTCTCCCCGAATTGGCCTTAACTCCCTTGTCTCCGTTCCCCCACCTGGTCATCACATTATAACTCAATTGTAGATGGTATGTGAAAATAAAAATGGAACGATCATAATGAATTCGTCATTCGTATCTACTAAGCTAAATTTTATGTTTCACGTTGCCAATTTTTACACGTGGGCATGATTAGACATAACGCACACACTATTCATGAAAACATGTCAGTATATCCTGCAATTTAAGCCTGGATCTTCGACTTAAGGATGTCCTTAAGAGTGACGGCGTCAGCCGCGAACTTGGAGATACCCTCCCGGAGCTTCTCCGTGCCCATGGCCTCCTCGTTGAACTCGAAGCGGAACAGAGCCTCGTCGTTGATGTAGCTGCGCTTGGGGATGTCCTTGCTGGCGGCGGTGGCGGCGTCCAGCTTCTTGGGGACAGCCTCGGTCGAGTTATGGAGATCCTCAAGGAGGTTGGGCTAAAGGGACGAAAGGGTTAGCATTGGAACCTTGCACATCAATCGCCATCGAGAATCAGAACATACCGAGATGGTCAGGTAGTCGCAGCCAGCCAGCTCGGTGATCTCGCCGACGTTACGGAAGGAAGCACCCATGACGATGGTGTTGTAGCCGTGCTTCTTGTAGTAGTCGTAGATGCCCTTGACGGACTTGACACCGGGGTCCTCCTGGGCGGTGTAGTCGCGCTTGTGGGCAGCCTTGTACCAGTCAAGGATACGACCGACGAAGGGAGAGATGAGGAAAGCACCGGCCTCGGCGGCAGCGATGGCCTGGACGGTGGAGAACATGAGGGTCAGGTTGCAGTTGATGCCGTGGTCTCTCTGGAGGACCTCAGCGGCCTTGATACCCTCCCAGGTGGAGGCAATCTTGATGAGGATACGCTCCTTGGGAATGCCGATTTCCTTGTAGAGCTGGGAGAAGACCAGAGTTAGCAGAGAGCGTTACCACCTGCTTCTTGTTGAGTTCCATACCTGGATGATGCGGAGGGCCTTGGTAATTGAGGCCTGGGTGTCGAAGGAGAAGCGGGCGTCGACCTCGGTCGAGACCTTTCCGGGGACGATCTCAAGGATCTTCTTGCCGAACTCAACCAGGAGACGGTCAAGGGTGGCATCGACCTGGTCGTCGACGGAACCTCCCTAATGTAACCGTTAGATCTCTGGATCTGTCGCTTTTATTCAAATGAACATACCTGCTGCTTGCCGTAGGCAACGGCCTCGTCGATGAGAGCGGCGTACTCGGGCTTCTTGGAAGCCGCAAGAATCAGGGAGGGGTTGGTGGTGGCATCCTGGGGCTTGTACTTGCCAATGGCTGTGCAGATATATTAGATTCCGGCCTTCTTGAGTAGCGTGATAGCATCACAGAGGGAGGTACGTACTGGCAAAGTCACCTGTAGGAAGGTTGGTGGTCAATTTAGCTGTCCCCTTGGGAGAATTGGCTGCGTGGCGATAGATTTAAGACTTACCAGAGTCGCAAACCACGACCTGGATCGGAGGTTAGCAAACATGACAACACAAGGCGAAAAACTTAGAGAACAAGAGGAAGAGAGACTTACGGTGCCAGCGGCCTTGAGCTGTTCAAGAGAAGAAGACATTGTGAAAGCAGATGGTGGTATCACAGAAAATAAAACAAAAGAAGTCAAGGAGGATGAAGGAAGAAAGGAGATTGGATGCGGAGAGGGGAAAAGAAATAAGGACGACGGGACGTGGCGATGAGGGAAGGCAGTGGAAGAGTTGGAAGAGGGGGCTCCGGGAAGGTGGGATGGTGGGGCAAAGTATGACGATATGCTGCTCGGGCTTCTGCAGACTGCCAAACACGCCAGATGTTCTTCTCTCCCCCAACAACCAAAATCCTCAAAACCGGTCTTCTCTGCTCCTGCCGCTGCTTCCCACCCATCAGTGTTAGCCCGTGCTGCCTCTGTTTCACCCCCATCCCCTCAATACCCCTGGCAGACCGTGGTTCTTTCGGTGCAGTGTGCTCCGGCAACCGCAGGGACAACGGTCCACTTGGCCGGCTAATCAGGTTCCTGTTTTCTTTCACCGGAGCACTGCGGTACTTACGGAGTAGATTCTTATTATGTACGGAGTATTCTGGTTTAGAACAAGAACAATGCTAACAATAATAATCATGAATAATAATCAGGCCCCCATGCTTTCCCCCCCTCTTCGGAACTTTTCCCTTCCTGTTTGGGGTAACTTTAACCGCCCCGTTCCTCTCTAGATCAAAGCTGGCTATACACATTCAATACACTGCTTCCGGATGGCCTGTCGTCCGGCGTCAGGCTGGGAGTGGAGGTCGCTAAGGTAGAACGCAAAGAAAAAATAAAATGGATCACTTGAGGCAACTTCGTATGCTTTTGCTATCATGTATTTCCTTTTCAATTCTCTTCCAAAATGATCGTCCTGGTTTTTTATTTAATTTTTTTGTTTTTTTTTTTTTTGTTTTGATCTTTTGGAGAGAACCTAGACAAAAAGTCGAAAGGCCTCAACAGCCTTTCAACGTCGCTGGACACAGCTCCATTCATACTGCAGTCGGTGGTCAGCTTTCCCATGTCCAAAAACAACCGATGCTCAGGAGTCACCTACCACTCTGCCGACTTCGTCTCCCGTATAAACGACCTGTGGCAAGGCCAGAATGCAACTGATTCCCACGGAGATATTGGCTCCATTGTCCCGACTGTTGTCAATATGGTGAAGTTGCCGAATTAATTCTAGCTCGAAATGTCCGCTATGAATGATTTTACTCCAGATCTATAGATTTGTTAGTTCTGGAGTCGTTGGTAAGCATGAGATCCACGTACATTGACAACGCCCCTTCGGTGACCCGTGAAGAGAAGCTCTCGCTCCTGCCATTCGTTGTCGACGCCTTCGTAGAAAACGCAGGACAGGATTTGATCGTCGGCAGAATCGCATACATTCTGTTCTAGTAACAGAGTTCCGTTTAGCGTGTAAAGGCTGATGCGGTTCTCCCGGCAGATCATGATCTCTCCGGTGACGTCATTAATCCGCGCACACTGCTTAGTTGTTAGCTGGAAACGAAAATCCTAGTAGGTTGGAAAGACCTGGGACGATTCTTACATTGACAGGACCACCCCCTGGAAGCTCTCGGACAAAACATTGCTGGTTCAGGTCCCACAGCATGACCTGCCCATCCGTCGACACAGAAAGGAGTGTGCTGAACGATCGTGAAACCGCGAGTGTCGTTACGGGGGAACGATGCCCAAACAGAGACCCTGCTGGCTGTAAGTCCACCGATCGGCTGGTCGATGAGAAAGTCCATGTCGATATTGTGCAGTCCGTTCCCGATGTGACCAGTGTTCGGGAGTCCGCGAAGATTGCACAGGACAACTGGCCGATATGAAGGTGCTCAAGGTGACCCAATAGCTAAAAACGTCAGCGGCATTTCCCAAGAACATCAAGGAGAGGGTAACCTGTACCTTCTGGTTGTCCGCAGAGTAGAACCTAACGCTGCCGTCGAAGAAGCCCCATTCCATGTACTTGTCATAACTCGGAGGAATATTCAATCGCAAAGCTGCAGCACATAGAAGGCGATCCTGTTTCATTGACAGCGACGATACCTGTTCCCCAATATCTGTCATAGTGTCAACAAACAAAGCTCGCGTCTGCTTCCACAGATATAGAGTAAGATTTAAAAACTGACCAAGAAGTGAAATAGGAAGCTGTGTAAGTGATTCGGCAAGACGATCTAGACGTGGGGCCTTGTGCCGCAAGTCCTCTCTCTGTGGGTGCGGTCGACTGAATATCTGATGGGGCGTCTGACCAAAGTTGTGTATGATGCCAATTGTAGCAATTCGGTCGACAGGATCATCAATTGTGTCCAAATCTTTGGCACCCTGGTAGGAGAGATGATGGAAAGTATTGACGGCTTCGACAGCAGCGTCTCCCTTCTGTTTGCAGCCGAACACTAGATCAATCCAATGATGCAGGTTCTGCGTAACATAAGGACTTTCCAGAGCTTCACGATGCTTAGCAATGAAGATTTTGGGATCTCCTTTGGCCCATGGCGGCAATTCCACGGAGTCAATCTCAGTCGTCATGTTCTGCAAGAAACCAAACTCAAATTTGTTCGAGTTGACTAGGAACTCCGGAAGGTAGAAGAACTCGGGAATCAGTTCCCTCACATCTGTCATATTTCCTCGCGAAGCGGACTCCCATGCTTTCCGAATAGAGTAAAAGAGGCGGTCGGCATGGTCAAAGTGACCGCCCTGAAGCAGCATGTACGATTTCACGAATGGCTGGAGACGTATCAGATATGAGCTGACGATCATCGCAGAAGAATAGTGAGTGCCGTAATGAAACGCAGGTGCTCCATCATCCCCCATGTCTGCAAATGCTTTGTACCGTTCCCGGAAGCCAGCTTCTCGTTCCGGGGTTTGGCAGCCCATAGGCTTGGAAAGGTCCCGGAAGGTAAGGGGATTGGTCAAGTCTAGTTCCTCACTCGTATAATCCGCGAGCACCCAAGGGAAAACAGGATACTGTGTCAAGTCATTGAATGTTCTTCCAGCCAACGTGTTGACCAGCATCAGATAGTGGAAATTCGATATCTCGCCCTTAGCCCACTTGCGAGTTGCCGGATGCACTGGTGAGTGTCCAAAGACACTAGCGACCTTGGACCCAAGAGATTGCGGAGCATCTTCCTGGCTGCGGAGGGTTTCAAACCTCCAAACGTCCTCAGGCCTTGAATGACCAACGCTTCCAGTAACTTGAGGGGCTTTTGTAGCAAGCTGACTGCTTAGAGTGTCTCGATCCCGTGATGAGATGAGGGTCAATAAGTAGCTAGTGCCATCCGTGAAGAAAATTTCCAGAGAGACATCGCGGAAGAGGAACCGCCGTTTCGAGACACTGACGAGGTCCGACCATTTCCAACTCCTAGTCTCATGCTCCCGTGGTTTGCGTTCAGTTGACGCCTTGCCAGCGATCACACCCACGTAAGGGTCGCGCTCCTCAGGAGGGGCTTGCCAAACATTCACGATTTCACCATCAGATCTCTGGAAGAAGTTGTCCAGGATGTAAATATTGTCTTTGCCAATAATTAACAGCCCTTCAAATGCCTCCAACCCAATTATACGAGAAATGTTGCACACATTCTCGACCTGATCCCCGCGGTGCAGACTCCTCATAACTTTCCTATTTCTGTCTTCATAGTCTTCGAGGTCGGCTTTGGGGTCATCGATCAACTCGAAGCTTTCTTCAACCACGCTCCTACTATCGGGACTTATGCCCCGGGCGTTGCTTTCAGTTTGGTCGGTAGGCACAGTAGGTGTAAGGCCAAGACCGTCGCCGCTAGATGACGTCGGGACTTGCGTATCAACCTTGATTTCTGGAGGCTCTGATGCTTTTCGTTTCGGCTGATAGTCGTGTCGCTCGCCTGACTCATCTGGGACTATTCGTAGCCGCATGCGGCTACGGCCTTCGGTCTGGTCAAGATGCCATTTCCTTTCTTTATCATCGGCAAGGACCCCACCGAAGCGGTGAAGATCTAAGGTCAGATGTGACAGCGCCGCCCACATGAAAACCGAATTGTCCTGCTGGTCCTGAAGAGCTCGTTGGTATTTCAGAAACTCCGATGCCGATATGTTCGATACCCAATGAGGGAATGTAGCCTCGTGTTTGCGTATCACCTCCTCATTCTCCTGTTCTATCTCACTCCACTCCTTCAGCTTTTCTTGGCGCTTTTGATACCGAGAGCGTGCCGAATTCTCGATTTTTAAATTCTCTTCGTGCACAAAAGAGCTCCACTGTTTGGACAGCCCCCCGAAGAATAATGTATTAAGATCGTCCTCGTGATCATCCACCCACTGTAGGAAAGCAGCATCTTCCATCCCAACAAGTGCTTCGAAGCCACTTGAAAGCCGGTTTTGTAAAGAGGGGTTCGTTTGACTTAGAATGGTGGACATCTCAACAGGCTTTTGTACCAACAAAATGCGGAAAAGTCCGGCAGCGTTCAAGCGTATGTCTTCACTCGCATCGATCAACTTTATGTAGAGAAGATAGCATAGTAGCTGCAAATAATCTGCCTGTGTTTCGCCAGCAGAAAGGAGCACAACTTGCCAATAGGACAACCGGTTCAGAAAGCAAAGTGCCTCCGTACCATCAACCTCTGATAGCTTGAGTAGGACGACGCGAAATACCGTAGACCTAATCGTCGCAATTGCCTGGCTACAAAGTCTGATGCTCTTCACTCGCGAGATGTCGGGTCGCTGGAGGTACTCCAAAATGGTTCCAGCAAACTCGAGAGTGGCCGTAGCACCATCAACGAACCAACCCTCATACACTGCTTCTCCTAGATGAGTTGAAAAACGTCCCAAATTGATCAAAACACGAGGCTCAGATAGCAACTCGAGTTTCGAGAATATGAAGTCCTGCAGAGTGGAGAGAAGGGACCTCAGCATCCACGAATTGAAGTATGCCTGGTATTCTGGAAAACCAGACGGTGTTTTCATGTAGAGACCAAGGCCAGAGAACTCCTTCCGTTCAAGCAGCTGTTCTGAGAAAACAGAAAGAACGAGGCTTAGTATGGTGGAAACTAGGGGATGGTCGGTAACCCCCTTGAACTCTACTCGCGGGGAAGTAAAAGCATGTTGTATGCGTGCCGAGGACGGCGGATATCTTCTGTCAGAGGAGACCAGGACGAATGACGAGGCACGTCCTAACGAGCCGTTTTCATCATGAGACCCAGCCTGTTCAACCGCGGTAGTTCGCGCCTCGGCTGCCCTTCGAGAGCGCGGGCGAACCATGAAGTTGGGGTCATCAAACTCAAGGCCACCGATACGAGGATGAGAGCTTATCTCGTCTTCGGCGCTCACATTATCTGAACCAACGACGACGGGAAATAGGACAGAGAGTAAGTTCTGTACATAACCCGGTCTTGTCGCAAATTCACGGAGGTTCTCGGATTTCAGCTGCAATTCAGCAAGAAATTCAACCACGGCGGCTAAAAGGGACACGCTCTCAACAGTCGCGCCCAAAGGTGTATGAGAAGACATGAGAGGCTTGGGGCTCTGTACACGATCTTGGAGGGAACCGGGGGCTTGGCTGTCATATTCTGAAAAGGAGTCATCCACAAGCACAACCTTTTTCAAGCCACTCTGCATCATCTCCGTAATGACTGGGAACATTTCGGGAATGATGACCTGAGCGTGGCTGCCAGCATAGAATATCTCAGACAGAGTGGTGTGGTCAATTGGATTATCGATAGCTACCCTACCCACGTCCAGGCCAAATAGGATGGAAAAGCAGATCGGCCATAGAATGGGGGTGTCCCACCATCTCTTCAGGCAGTGCCGCATGAGGGTAAAGCCCCCTGTCTTTTCGGTAAACTTTTTGCTGTAACTGCTGCCATGGACTACGAGCAAGCGGGCCATCATTTTGGCGGCCAAGGCAACAATCTCGGGTTCATCCTCAGAAATAAGGTACAGAAGCCACTAAAATGATGTCAGGATCAATTACACAATCATAAGCAATTTTCGGGGACGAACCTTGTTTGTTACGGCTCTAGCAAATTTCTTTATTGGCCCAAGGTCATTGGTATCACAGAGGAGGGAACAATACATGCGAAGCATTTCCTTCGCTATCACCGTGCTGGAAACATACTTAGGCTCAATAGGATTTGCTGGCGGTCGGATCCCGGAGTTGAAGCGTAGGCTTTTCTTCTTCTGAAGTCTGCTTGGTTCTTTGGGTTTATGCATGGCATATGTGATGAAAAGGGACAGGGATCGAAGCAAGTCTGCCGTCAGGCAACTCTCCATCAAAGACCCAAAAGCGGAAGTGAAAAGAGTCAATGCCTCTGCAGTAAAATCTTCTCCCTTCAAAGTTTCAAGAAGCTTCTTGCTTACACCTATTGGTCATCAGTTAAACCAGAATTGGAAGAAATTGGCGAAGATAAACTCACGCATGCGAGCGAGGCGCTTCGAATTCGATCGGCGAAATTGACTCTCGCTGGCAAATACACAGAATTGCGAATAATATAGCTCGATGAGAGGAAAATCGCCGAATCTCCACACATCCAGGTCAACAAGCAAGACTCTATAAGCCAATGGATTCGTGATGATGGAGTGACTTGGCTGCTCGAAGTCATAGCCAACAAACTTGAGGGTTAACCGAAGAAGGTCAAAGGTGAGGGCGGATCGCTCTTCATAGGTGGAGCAAACGGTCGAAGTTCTGGTGTTTGTGCCTTGTCCTAGTTTTTCACGTAACAATGCAGCAAGAATGCCATAGCCATTTTCTTTTTCCATTGCCTCACTGTTCCGCCAACTGTCTTGCACGGCCTCATGAAATGCTTCAACCGCTAAAAGTAACGTTTCTGCGGTATTTGCCGAATGGACCAAGCTCAGTTGCACCGCTGCGCAGCCACCGATGCGCCAACTAGCGTCATCTAGAGAGTGAGGCACTGTCACGACAGGATCTCCAGTCAACACCCCGATTCCATGAGCTTGTGTCAAGGCATCGTTAATAGCAGGAGTCGCTCCGTTGACTGCCACCGCGTTTGCTCCCATCTTTGTTAGTTGGTGCAAGTTTTTGGCGGCCTGCTTCGAAAGAGACTTGACGAGTTGCGATTCGTCAATGTTGTTGCCATCATTATCATCGAGCACAGCCAAGGGGGACACATTGAGTATTATAGATCCCTCCCGGATAAGATTGCTCGCTTTGCGCCTGATAGCAGTGACGATATCTGATGTTTCTTCCTTTCCGGGATGAAGATGCTCATTACGCAGATTCAAGGCTGCAGAGGCTTTGTAGGTCTGGAAAGAACCCAGACAGTCCTGGTAATTTCCATAATAGCGGGGTCCAAGGTTGTAGAAAACAGAGACCATGTCGTCGCTATACGCTTCATCAAAGAGTATCGCGTTCGCTAGAGACCACCGAGATGAGGAAACCCCCTTTCCAAGTTTCATTGCCAGGTCCTGAGGTGTGCCATAAAAAGCCTGAACCCTTGACACCCGGTTTGAAGCGTTCACGGCAGGCAGGGATGGATATTCAATTCTCAATTGCTCGACAAATTCGCCATCAATGAAAAGCGAGGCCCGCGAGTATGATGGCGGTCTTGGCTTTTTGTGCACCACGCAGATGTGATACCACCGATTAGGTTCGAATGCGGTAGACTTGAACCGAACGCTAGGGCGAGAGCCTTTAATCGACGTCTGTAGGATGAAGTTGCGGGTGTCCTTCTCCAAGTATGCAAGAACAAAACATGTTTGGCTAGCGTCAAAGGCGCCAAATATCGTGGTGTGCGTCGTCGTATCGAATTTATCAAATCGTGCCCATACCGCAAGTGTGTAGCCCGACGAGGTTGTAGGCGGAAATGAGCGACCTAGGGTTGTGAATTCCAACGAACAGAATCCGTGCTGAGAGAGGTCGAACTGAATTGACGGGGGTTCTTTTGAAGATTTCAAGGCGCCGGTGAGGAAACGTAGCGCTTTAGAACAGCCATGTGCTTGCTGATAGAGAAATACTGCGTCATCTAGGCTACTAATTCCCTGAGAACAAAGCAGCTCTGCTAGTTCCTGATAGGCCAGCCTCACGGATTCCGGATGCTTTTCATCGAACAAGATCGGAAGAATCAGAGAAAGAATCCCAGTAGCATGCAGGATTGTGGTGTTCCGCTGAGACTGACGTGCAAGTTGACAGAGACATGATGGTAGAGCTAGTTTCTGTATTCTGTGGTCGGGATTGGGTGAGGACTGGATCAACCAGACTCGGATTAGAGGGCCTAGAAGCTCCGGCACTTCAACATTTTCCGAAGTTCCTACACATCGATCCACTTCTGCTTTGATATCGGTATTAGATACTTGGTCGACCGTCTGGAACTTCTCACCCAGGGTCGTGAATATACGGGCAACTGTTTCCTGGCATAGGATGGCAGCAAATATGCCACCATAGAACTGTTCCGCATCGCCTTGGGCAGAGTCTACTTTTCTGGCCAGAATGGCGAAGGTCTCCTCCAATGCGGATTGACCTCCTCCTACAATCCGATTTGCAAAATATCGCTTGTTTCCAAAATGCTCCTTCAAGGCCTCGGCCAAAACCGCCAATGCATCTTTGTGGAGGGACAAGAGGAATTTTCTTTCCTCTGCTGCCGATTCGTGGGGGTTATAACAGTCCGAGACCTTTCGAAGGAGGACCAGTAACGTTTGGAACCCATGTAGATGCCGAAAGCTCTCTTTAGCTTGTCGAGGGTAATCGGTGTCGATGAATGTGTGACGGAGACGAAGCAGGCATTCCGTTGCCGTGAGGGCAAGCTGAGAGTCTATCGCATTGCCCTCGCAGGTGGCCTTGAGCTCCTCGAGAACCGGGACTAAATCGGCGACCGACCGTTGGACTGGTGAGGACGGGGACGAAAGGTCAAGGGAGGCGTTGGCTTGGTTCATCGCGCCGCCGGATCTCAACCCCGATTGCCTATCTGATGACCAGTGACCACCAGACACCATGAACCTGCACTTAGCGTAGGGATGAAGGCGGTCTGCATTGGTATGTATGCGGTTTCGGGAATGACTAGCGGGCCTTCAATCGAGGACAACTGCCTAGCATGGCACAGGTTAATGCGGGAGGGGAAAAAGGGCTTTGCCGGGTTTCAGAAGAGATCAGCAATTGCGCGATTATACGGATAGGATAGAGCACCGCCAAGAATTTAGAATTCACGGTCAACGAGAGGGCATTTGATTTTTTGGATGTAGCAGAAAACGAAGCTATGATCACATAAAAAACTAAAAAAAAACTTACCTCCACACCCTCGGGGAGATTCAAGGTTTCCTGAATGTTGACCTGAATGTGATGATAAGTCGTATGCCAACGTCACTTGAGGCTGTACCATGAGCGGGGGGAATCTCGGATTATCGGACGGTTCCAGCACAGAAGCCACGGCTAACTTATCAGGTGACAGAGAGAGCGCAGTGCCCCCGATTTTCTGGACCTTCGCATTGGCCCGACGGGCGGTATCGATAAGGGGAGTCTGGGCTCTTATCTCATCCTACGGCGGACCGCAGACACCTTTCGAGCAGAGCCTTCCGGGGCGTGTATCCCCGGGTACCGTTACCGTAAGTATACGGCGACTCCACTTTTGGAGAGTCAGCCGAACATCGGACCCAGCCTGGAAAGCACGCGACTTAGGGGAGGTTGCCTAGGCACTCTTGGTGGCTGGAGACATGCCAGCCAGGTACTGCAGGTACGCCCCCGACCGCTACCCGGGTCAGTTGATTGCGAGCTTCGTTTAGGTTGCCTCCCTCCCAGGATTTAGCATCCCCGTTTCTTACGGTTTACTAGTTGACTATCTAGGGTAAATAGAATTGAGTCATTGAGTCATTGCTGCCGCGCAATCTTATGTACTCAGTTCTGTACCCAAGTAACCTACCTACCTACCTAGGGTCCTCAATCCTATGCACACAGGATGCAGACTCCACTTCCCTTCGCCTCATTCTGGAAATAGGATGGGATCATCTCGGAAGGTACGGATTACTTTAGACCATACAAAGACGATACGGCAGCTCCCAGCCTAGCCAGGTAGATAGTTAGGTACCGTAGATAGGTAGAGTAAGCAGGGGGATCCCCATGGTTACGTGCTTCACCGTAGGTCATCCACCTAGTAGTTCCCTTATCAGCCTTCCCCAGGTCTTTCGTCGCCCACCGGCGCTAACTGTCCGAGCGGGATCGACAGAGCTGTGTCATCTGGTCACCTGCTGTAAATTACGGTAATCCGGTTGCATCATCCTCAGCTGCCCTTGCCTCTGCTCCCTGGCCCATCCATCCTCTTATCCTTCTTCTACTCCATCCTCCCCCTCGTCCTTCCGTCTTTCTCTTCCATCTCTCCTTCCTTCATCATCATCGATCCTATATTATTTCCATCCCTCCCGCCATCCTTTGTGAATCTTTGTCAACGTCGTCCCTATCTGCCCATCATGAAAGGCTTCCTGAGCCTTTCCCTGCTGCCGCTGCTGACGGCAGCCTCGCCCGTTGCCGTCGACTCCATCCATAACGGAGCTGCCCCCATCCTTTCCTCGAGCAATGCGCAGGAGGTCCCCGACTCCTACATTGTCGTCTTCAAGAAGCATGTCGACGCTGCTTCGGCTTCGGCTCATCACAGCTGGGTGCAGGACATCCACGAGTCTCAAGTCGAGCGGATTGACCTGAAGAAGCGGTCGCTCTTCGGCTTTGACGACCTCTACCTTGGTCTCAAGAACACATTTGACATCGCTGGATCCCTGGTCGGATACTCTGGCCACTTCCACGAGGATGTCATTGAGCAGGTCCGGAGACATCCCGATGTAAGTATCTTGTTATCTCTTATCTACGAAGCTCCTATCACTGCTTCTTTCTGTCGTGAGCTTTGGGGCTGATCTCTCGGTATAGGTCGAGTACATCGAGAAGGACTCCGAGGTCTTCACCATGAGTGAGCAAGAACCCGAGGTTGAGAAGAACGCCCCCTGGGGTCTGGCCCGTATCTCTCACCGTGATTCTCTCTCCTTTGGCACGTTCAACAAATACTTGTATGCGTCGGAGGGCGGTGAGGGTGTCGATGCCTACACCATTGACACTGGTATCAACGTTGACCACGTTGACTTCGAGGGCCGGGCCACTTGGGGCAAGACCATCCCTACCAACGACGAAGACGCCGATGGTAACGGTCACGGTACTCACTGCTCTGGAACCATCGCCGGCAAGAAGTACGGTGTTGCCAAGAAGGCCAACCTCTTTGCTGTCAAGGTCTTGAGATCCAGCGGGTCTGGTACCATGTCCGATGTCGTTCAGGGTGTCGAATGGGCTGTTCAGTCCCATCTTAAGCGGTCCAAGGATGCCAAGGACGGCAAAGTCAAGGGTTTCAAGGGCAGTGTTGCCAACATGAGTCTCGGCGGTGGCAAGTCGAAGACCCTCGAGGATGCCGTCAACGCTGGTGTTGAGGCTGGTCTTCACTTCGCCGTTGCCGCTGGCAATGACAACGCCGATGCCTGCAGCTACTCCCCGGCTGCCGCCGAGAATGCCGTGACCGTCGCCGCCTCGACCCTTCAGGACGAGCGTGCCTACTTCTCCAACTTCGGAAAGTGCACTGACATCTTCGCTCCTGGCCTCAACATTCTCTCCACCTGGATTGGCAGCAACCACGCCGTCAACACCATCTCCGGCACTTCGATGGCCTCGCCCCACATTGCCGGCCTTCTGGCATACTTCGTCTCTCTCCAGCCCTCCAAGGACTCTGCCTTCGCTGTTGACGAACTCACTCCTGCCAAGCTCAAGAAGGACATCATTTCTATCGCCACCCAGGGCACTCTCACCGATGTTCCTTCGGATACCCCCAACGTAAGTCCCCTAGTTCCATTGTCTTTAATGCTGTGGGTTGTGTGGATTCTAACTGACGTCTGTAGCTCCTTGCCTGGAACGGCGGTGGCTCTGCCAACTACTCCCAGATTGTTGCCGACGGTGGCCACAAGGCGTCGAGCGTCAAAGACCGCTTCGACGGACTGGTCGACAAGGCCGAGAAGCTTCTCACCGAAGAGCTTGGTGCTATCTACAGTGAGATCCAGGATGCAGTTGTTGCTTAGATTTGGAGATAATCTCTACAACGGGCATAGTTCTGCCCATCATAAGGCATAGGAATTGGTTGATCGAATACACTGGCGCTGGTCCCTTTTTTTGAATTGTTTTTGTGCTGTCTGTTCCGAGTTCTGGAGATGCCGATGCATTGACTGCATTGGTTGTAACATCCTAACATTGATTACCTACCTACCTATCGCTCTCTTGTTTCCCCATTTTTACCGTAGTATACATTGTTTCAACGAAACCTTGGCATATCTAGACACTTTTACTATTTTAGCTTTCGATGTCACACAGACTGGGAATTTGATTGAAACTATCTAACGCACTTGTCCTGGTCTTCTGGCCTATGGAGAATGCCGAAATGTCCCCGTACTCCGTACACCGCAGGTCAGCAGGAGTGGCTTTGGCCTGGTCTACCCGGTTGGCCACGGGAGGAGCGACGATCAACCGCCGACGGGTCATACGCATCTGACAAACCGGGAGGGTCCAGCCTACCTTAGGTTGGTAGGTATGTACATAGCAGGTTATTGATCTACAGAGCACATGCGCCCATTTAATATCGCGTCGCGGGTTCTGCAACTTGCAGCCATTGTGCACCGCCCATTGACTTTTGACGTCCGCGCATACCGTCATTTGATATGTCAATCCATACCTACTCTATTGAGCTTGCTGAACATGCACGGCCGGATAGGTGCCTCGTCCGTCGGCAAGAATGTAGAATGTTCAGATCGCGTGGACATCTCATCGGATACCTTTTCGGTTATGGTCATACGCGATATGTAATTCTGTGCTAGAGGTACCTAGGCAGGCAGATCTGTCTACTGCCTAGCTGCAGGGAATCATCTACGTTATATCCTTCAGTCCCCGTCCGTACACCAAATAGTTAGTCTGCCTAGTAACTACGGAGTAGTTAGTCTAAGTACGGAGAAGTCTTGGAAGAATCACGGAGGGCAAAGAACCAGTTTCCTCTCCGCCAACTTTACCTACTAACCTACCAATCTACCTTAACCAATCCCACCCCTTTTCTGGCACAGTCTTCGGAGCTTATTCACTTGATTGATAACTTTGTTCGCGCTTGGTTGGGGTCATGGGGCGGGTTGTCTGTGTCACTTGTTCGGGAGGACCCTGGACGGGCGGGCGCATACATACACCGTTGTTAAATAGGTAGAGGGTGGGTGGGGGAGTGGCGTTGTAAGGTGTATGCTGCGTATGAAAATATGTAGGTATGATGGATACACGAATATGTACTTATGTATTGTAAGGTTAATATTTCGTGTGATCACGATTTCTGATCGGGGTGTTGTTTTTTCTCGCCGACTTGAGGATCATGGTGTACCTCCTTGTGTAGGGCGTTTTGTGTTAATCAGTCGGCTGTCGTGGTGCTCTATTTGGGGAAGGGCGGTGTTACCGCTAATCCGGTTGGGGTTGAGCGTTGGGTGGCTGAAGGTATTCGTCAGTATAAACACCTGTTGGGTACAGGTGCTGGCATGGTAAAGTAGCTTTGACGTCGGTCAGAGCAGTGTTTCGATATCTGCGGCGCCAGTTCGGAGCATGACCTTACCGCTGCTTATTCTGTATGAACTGTTCAATGTCTCCAACGCCATTTGCTGAACCTAATTTATGACTACGCATGTATCGACGAGCTCGAGACAGCCTGAACAATAATAAGAACTCCATTTCTAGATCTGGAAAGAAATGTATGCTATGTAACCGATTGCCGGACGCAGGTCATCTGTCTAATGCCTAGCCCCCAGTACGCCTGCGCTATGCCATGAATTAAAAGTAGATGAGTGAGAGCTCCGAAGCGCCAAAAAATATCCCTGTAAATCCGAGGGCAAATCGAAAACCCGCTTCAACGTTCTCCCCTGGTATGTACGGTGTGGACGGCATTGCTACTAGCGACGGTTCTTGTCGTCTTCCTCGTCGTCGCTGCCGGTGTCCAGATCGTCCACGTTCAGGTCCTCGTCTGAGTCACTTCCGCCGAAGACGTCATCGTCGGCATCGCTCTCCGCCCAGAAGTCCGAGTCATCCTTCTCCACCGGCTTTGCGGCCGCGGTTGCCTGGTGAGTCGGCATGATGAACCCCTCGGGGATGTCGTTCTTGGAGGCATCCACGTTGCTCTGAACGATCGATTTGTATTGCACAGGATCTTTCCGGAGCATAATTCCGGCGTCGACGTTGGCGGGAGAAGATACCTCTGCGTCGTCGAGGAGGGACAGGATGGAAATGAGAACGGATTCGACGCGCTGGGCGGGCGACCATCTTTCGGAAGCGAGTTCGCCGGACATCTCGTCTTCGCCTGGCGCGTGGAGAATCGAGATGCAGAGTTTGCCATCTTGGTAGATATTAGGGTGGTAAAGAGGACGGAGGAACCGAAATTCTAGAGATCAAAGGGTTAGTGTCTATTTTTTGTTGTCCCTCAACTCTGACAAAGAGGGGGGGAACGGCGGAAAAAGCGAAAGAAACTCACCTGGGGGCGAATAGGGATAATTCTTGGGAAATTTCATAAGAGCTTTGAAGTAGCCCCCATAGTAGGAGGAGTCCGGGTTCAGAACGATCAGCCCGATGGTCCAGTTAAAAATATCTTCCTCGTTCAACTAGATAAATCAGTTAGCCCAGACGTTCGCTAGTGATACGCCGTAATTCGGTATGCTGAGAGGCTAGGAATGCATGATCCATGCCGAGTCGATAGGAAGCAAACATACCTCGATATTGACCCATGGCTCCTTTGCCAGCGTCTTATACTCGTTCATGAGAATCCGTTCCGCCATGATGAGAAGGGAGACAGATTAGGATGACGCGGGGTGACTCCGATATTACGACGATGGGGGGGGGAGGGGAGAGAGAGAGAGAGAGAGAGAAAGAGAGAGACAGAAAGAGAACGAAAGGGGGGATGTCTTTATTCAAGAGGCGCGTTCAAAGAGAAGCCACAAAGTTGTTCGACGGCAGAGGGATAGTGGCGGAGGGGAAGTTCAAGCGGTCGCGTTATCTGACTGGCGGGAAGATCGGCCTGAGGCCCTTGGATCCATTCCGCCTTTTTAACCTGCGAAGTCCCGTGGCAATCCAGGCGGAAACTTCCGGGGTGGCGCTAAAGGAGTTTGGAGTTTTCCCCTGGACTTTTTTCTTTCTTTCCCTCGCTGGTGGAGAGTGTCCGATGAATCTTTGCGGCTCTTCCCTGGCGTCAGTTGAGAAGACCAAGAAAAGAATGAGTTGGTTCCTTCACTCTCGACAGTGAAGGAATATACTGAGTGAATCATGCTTATCGCGTTGGACTCCTACCGCCCCTCAAGGCCAACGCCCTGTACATCATCGTTCTAACCGACGCGCCCATGACCGATCGGCCGGTGGGGGAACAGGCGATAAGCCGTTCGAGTGGGGGGACCTTGCGGTGGGCGCCTATGTGTTAAATATTAATACTGCCTGCTAGGTACTACCATTATCATCTTTCTCATCGTGGCTCTTATTCCTTCTCGGATCCTAGACTAGGATGAGCTTGGGATAGCATAGTCCCAAGACATTTGTCATTCGAACCTGACCTGTTCGGTCCTAGGCGACGCCTTATCTCGGAGAAATGGTCTTTCAAGGGCGCGCCAGAGTCCAAGAGGAAGAGATGGTTGAGTCAGAGCTTCAGACAGAGTTACATTCAGCGAGGGAACGTTGTCAACTGATCTGCTTCTGCAGAACCCCATGCGAGGGTTGAGTCAGACCGACAGGGGCGACTGGAGCTGACGCATTTTTCTCATAGTCTTGCGCCAGAGCGCGGTAAACAGAAACAAAAAAAGCCCTTGAGCAAAGCAAAGCGAGTCTTGGCAGGTCGGGGACTCAAACGAGACAAGCCGGTGTGACTGCAGCAGAGCACGGACGTCCCGGTAGCTTATGCTTTCTGTGCCTCTGTCGGAGTATGTGGCAGGTAGTAGGAGTTAAATGTAATTACTCTTCAAAGTGTCCAGAGTTAGTTAAGTCGCCTTAATTCTTTACGTAAATCCTCGGTCGCATCACGACATCCAGAGAAATTAGTCCCCTTCTACTATAATCTAGTGTATGGTGTGCCTACTCGAGAACGTGGTTGACTGGAGGCAGCAATCAGGGGCCAGAAAATTAAGGATAAAATCTGAATCAAGGCGACTTTAATTAAAGAAAGAAAAAAAAGACACCGGCTGCAGGCATCTGATAATTCCCTCCATTCCAGCCTGGAGATCCCCCGACATCCCCGACAGGCCATTCTTATTCATGATTATCCATGATTCTATGTAATACTGCCGCCAATAGGATGGCCTCGTCTCCCACCTTCAGTTCCTGGTAATATGGAGCAATTAATGATCATTGAAAGGCGAACGCACCGATGACTCTGGCGGGTTCGAGCCGTTGGCCTGGATCTCTCCTGCTTTTGTACTGAGGCGGTGGGACTGGAGTCAGGCCGTGGGTCCCTTTCAGCTAGTTAAACTAGTTAACTTCCGTATGCTAACTAATCCAACCTGCTTCCGCCTTCCCTCCGTCATTATTTCCCTCCCTCCAGTTCTCTCTTTCTCTTCCTCTCTTCCTGGCTGCTTTTTAGGCCTCGGTTTTTGCCTCCCTAAAAGACGTCGGGTGTGATTCAATTTATTCTTCGCTATCTTTGGGCTTCTTTTTTGATCCTGTCTCGCCGTCCCTTCCCCTTCCTCTCTGTACACTTTTTCCCTCTTTTCTTTTGTTTCCCGACTATCGAGTCCGTTTCCGTTACCTAGAGTCGTGCAAATGCTAGGCTTGCCCTGCATATCAATGTCAAAGAATTTCTAAAACCGTGAACAGAATTGCTGTTCATCTTTCTCCCATCGGTTTACTAGATCTTGAAATTGAATTTAAAAGCAAACGAATGAGTGTCTCAAGTTCTCGTTCCAATCCCGGCTGTTTCCTATCCTTCTGTCGGAAATGATACCGGAATGTCATGGCCCGGTGTGGGCCATCGATGACCTTTCACGTTGCTTTCAACGAAAGTGAGCTCCCCAATTCTTTCTTCCCTGGTCTTCATTCTCGTCAGGTTCATTCGCTCACCGGTGATTTTTGCATCGCAGTTACCTACAAGTAATCTTTCCACTTACAGCATGCGGTCTTTCTCTGTTGTTCATTCTCTTTCGTATTGCCTATCGCTATGTGGTGGCCCGGAAGGGCATTGCCTACAAAATCCTAAGCGACAATGACGCCACGGCGGATGCTCGAGATGTTGGGTTCGTGGAAGAGGAGCAGGGCGAGGAGACCGATCCCATGTTATCCAAGGCGGCGCAGGCCGAGCAGCTGGAGTTCGAAGTTGATCGTCCCCGAGGCGAAATTCTGTTCATTTCCCTGGAACTAGCGGCGTTGGTGGGAGAAGTGGCTGTTTTTATTGCCATTCTGTTAACTGACGGCTGGGGTCACCAGGGTAAGCTCCCTGCCGTGGCGAAATTGATCTCCTGGGGCTACACCCTGTTCCTCGCGTCCGTGCGATTGCTTCTTTCGACCCTTGGACTACATTCCTTCCCCAGACTCTGGAATCACACCGCTACGTTGTATGGCCTGCAATGGCTGTTTGCCGTGTTTGTCTTCCGCTCTGCGGTCATTCACCCGATCTCAAGACGTGCCGTGACTTTGAGCGCCATCGAATTTGCGCTGTCTACCTTCCTTCTGCTTATCGCTATGACCACCCGTAGAGGAAATAAGGCGGTTTTGGTTCCGCATGAGGACGGTCTTGAACCGGCAAGACACCCGACGGCAAGCTTGCTATCCCTTCTGACTTTCACATGGCTCGACCCTCTCATCTTCAAAGGATGTAGACAGACACTGGAGCTTGAGGATGTCTGGAACTTGACGGGACCCCAGAAAGCCGCCACCGTGCTCGAAGATTTCCGTCGGAGACAGTACAAGGGATCTTTGACTTGGAAGCTCCTGCGCTACTTCAAGGGCACTCTTCTGGTACAAGGTGCATGGGCCGTGTTTGCTAACTGCTTTACGTACTTGCCCACGCTTCTTCTGCGGGCTATCTTGCTGTACGTCGAGGATCCGAGGTCCAGTACGCCGAACGCCGCCTGGTTGTACGCTATATTGTTGTTTTGCTCCGGGGCCATCCAGGGAGTTGCCGACGGACAAGGTCTCTTCATCGGACGCAAACTAAGCGTGAAGCTTCGCGCTATCATTATCGGCGAGATTTATGCCAAGGCTCTTAGACGCAAAGCCAGCGCCTCGACTGACTCTGCGAAAAAGAAGTCGGCAGATGAGCCTCCGGCTGACAGCAAAAAGAAGGGTCTCTTCTCCTTCGGACGCAAAAAGAAGAAGGCCACGAACGACCCCGAAACGGATCCCGAAGATACCAAGAAGTCAGACGCAGGAGACGACGCCCATCTGGCTAATGTTGGTACCATCATCAACCTGATGGCGATTGATTCCTTCAAAGTCAGCGAAGTCGGTGCCTACCTCCACTTCCTGTGGGCCAGCGTGCCGGTGCAGGTTATCATTGCCGTCACTCTCTTGTATCGACTGCTTGGATTTAGCTCGTTTGCTGGCATCGTGATTATGGTCCTTATGCTACCCGTCAATATCTTCATTGCCAAACAATTCACCAAGGTCCAGAACCAAATTTTGGCTGGTACTGATGCTCGTATCCACGCCACCAACGAGATTCTTCAGAATATCCGGATTATCAAATATTTCGCATGGGAGCAGCGGTTCGAGGATATAGTGAATGAAAAGCGAAAGGCGGAACTCAAAGCCTTGCGCTTCCGTTACATTATCTGGTCCACGGCGGCGACGGTTTGGTACGGAACGCCGATTCTCATTACTTTCGCTTCGTTCTTCCTCTACACAGTGGTTGAGAAGAAGGATCTAACTCCGTCGGTTGCATTCCCTGCTTTGTCCATGTTCTCTTTGCTCCGCATTCCCTTGGACCAACTTGCCGACATGCTGGCTCACGTACAAGAGTCTAAAGTATCCCTGGATCGTGTTGATAAATACCTCAACGAGGAGGAGACCGACAAGTACCATCAGCTGGAGCCTGAGGAAAACGATGGACAACCTCCTAGAATTGCACTGGACAACGCCACGCTAACCTGGGGGTCTTCCAAGGGACAGAACCAGGACGAGACGGATGATACCCCAGAAGCATTCCGTTTGATCAACCTCAACGTCTCCTTCCGCATCGGATGTCTTAATATTATTGCGGGACCAACGGGCTCTGGAAAGACCTCGGTTTTAATGGCCTTGCTTGGAGAAATGAAGCTCTTGGAAGGCCGGGTTCATTTGCCAGGTGGCACAGTGAGCCGAGTGGAACTCCCGGTGGACCCTCAGACAGGACTGATAGAAAGTGTCGCGTACTGCGCACAAGAGGCTTGGCTCGTGAATGACACGGTCAAGGAAAACATCGTCTTTGCATCTCCGTTCGACCAGCGACGCTACAACGCCGTGCTTAAGGCATGCGCTTTGGAGCGTGACTTGACCATCCTTGACGCCGGTGATCAGACGATGGTCGGAGAGAAGGGCATCAGTCTTTCCGGAGGACAGAAGCAGAGAATCTCTCTTGCACGTGCTATCTACAGCAGAGCTCGGCATATTCTGTTGGATGACTGCTTGAGCGCTGTTGATTCGCACACTGCCAAGCACATCTTCAGAGAAGCTCTTACAGGACCTCTGATGATGAACCGCACTTGCATTCTCGTCACACACAACGTTGCCTTGACTGTTCCACAGGCACACCACGTCATTGTTCTCGACAACGGTAAAATTGCCGCCCAAGGCAAACCGGACGATGTTGCAGCTTCGGGTGCCCTAGGTGAAGACCTTCTCAAATCCCGACCGACTTCTAGATCCAGCTCCCAGCGCCCTTCCGGCCGACAGACCGCAATGGATGAACAGCGCGAGGAGGACTCCCACACCAATGGTGCTGCCACCAATGGCTCTGCCGCCAAGGGTACGAAGCAAGAGGATGCCCGTCCCAAGCTGGTGGAGTCGAAGGCGGTCGGTAGTGTCCAATGGTCAACCGTCAAGATGTATCTCAAGTCTATGGGTTCATCGTATTACTGGATCAGTGCTGTGCTTGTCTTTTCTTTGCAGCAATTAGGATCGGTCTCCACCAACGTTTGGATCCGGCAGTGGGCGAATTCCTATCGCACCAAAGACCTTGGGACGGAAGATGCGGGCAACTACGCCGCGATGGCGAACATGAAATTCCCATCCTTCAATGCTGGAAGTGTCCCACGAAGCTCACCTGTAGGCTCTCCTCATCTGAACGCGCAGGCTGCTACGGCCTCTTCATCGGATGTGAACGTCTCTTACTACCTTGGCGTCTACGCGCTTCTTGGAATAGTTTATCTTTTGATCTCTCTGACTAGAGAAGCAGTGCTCTTCTGGGGCTCGCTGCACGCGTCGTTTAAGATCCACCAGCGTCTCCTCAGGACAGTGATGCACGCAAAGTTCAAGTTCTTTGACTCCACACCCCTGGGTCAGTTGATGAATCGTTTTTCGAAGGACGTTGAAGCAGTTGATCAAGAGGTTGCTCCCGTGGCCATCGGTGCACTCCACTGCCTGGCATCGGTTATTATGATTGTCGTCCTGATCTCGGTCATAACACCTGGGTTCTTGATCGCGGGTGTTTTCATTACGCTGGTATACTTCGCGCTGGGCGCGGTCTACTTGAACTCCTCTCGTGATCTCAAGCGGCTGGAGTCTGTCCAGCGCAGTCCGTTGTACCAGCAATTTGGCGAGACCCTGAATGGCATTGTCACTATCCGTGCCTATGGCGATGGGCCGAGGTTTATCGTGGACAACCATCGTCGGATCAACAACTACAACCGGCCTCACATCTATCTCTGGGCTAGCAATCGCTGGCTGGCACTCCGCGTCGATGTCACGGGCGCTTTAGTATCCTTCTTCACTGCTGTTTTTATCATCACGAACATCGGCAAAGTTGACGCCGGTGCTGCCGGTCTTTCATTGACGTACGCGGTCACCTTCACTGAGAACATCTTGTGGTTGGTCCGACTCTACTCCGAAGTTCAACAGAACATGAACTCCGTTGAGCGGGTCAACGAATACCTCGACGTCGAGCAGGAGGCCGAGGCAGTCATTGCTGACTCAAGGCCTCCGGTAAACTGGCCCAGTGCCGGTGCAGTTGAATTCTCCAACTATACTACACGATATCGCGCTGACCTCGATCCCGTTCTACGTGGAGTTTCTTTCACAGTGCAGGCTGGTGAGAAGGTTGGCATTGTTGGTCGTACTGGTGCCGGTAAGAGTTCCCTGGCTCTTGCCCTTTTCCGCGGTCTCGAAGCCGAAAAGGGACACATCGAAATCGACGGCGTGAAAATTAGCGACATTGGGTTGCGTGACCTGCGAGAGGCCATCACCATCGTGCCTCAAGATCCCACCCTTTTCACCGGAACGATACGAACCAACCTCGATCCGTTCAACTTGTTCACCGACGAGCAGATCTTCACGGCGCTTCGACGGGTGCATTTGATTGGACCTGGAACTTCGGGGACTGCCACTCCCGTGGCAGGCAGCGCAAGCACTGCTGTCGAGTCCAGCGCGATCAACGTCAACGGATCCCTGGTTCTGGACAACAAGAACGTATTCCAGAACCTGGAGACTTCAGTATCCGAATCGGGCTCGAATCTCTCGCAAGGCCAAAGACAGCTCCTGTGTCTCGCACGTGCCCTTCTCAAGAACCCCAAGGTCCTCATGATGGATGAAGCTACCGCGTCTATCGACTACAACACCGACGGCAAGATCCAGGAGACGCTCCGGGAACTGCGCGAGAGCACCATCATCACCATCGCCCACCGTCTTCAAACCATCATCGATTACGACAAGGTTCTCGTTTTGGACCACGGACGTGTCATCGAGTACGATCACCCCTGGACCCTCATTACTAAAGAAGATGGTCTTTTCCGAAGCATGTGTGAAAACAGCGGGAACATGGAAGTTCTCGAAGATGGCGCGAAGAAAGCTTGGGATAACAAACGTCTTGTGGATGATTCTTAGACGGTGATCAAAAAGTAACAAACCGCCGGTCTTTTCTTAAATATACATAATTGTTTTATTATTCTTGTTTATGTTTCGGTTTATTCCTCATCCGTTTTCCTTCCTTTTTTCCTTTCCTTTCCTTTTTTCTCGAATTATCCTATTCTAGATGGTCGTGAGAACGAGAAAGGGTTGAGAAAGAGAAGACGATTTCAAAAACAAAAAGTTATCAATTCGAGGATGCAAGTTTTCTTACCACCCACTTGTTACGGGGTATGTCGTTACCGCGAACCTTTCTTTTTCTGTCTTTGGACTATTGGTATAGTGTTCGTTTCATGTCCTGCGTTGCATTGCTTGCAAGCATGTTTCAGTGAATGGAATAAAATGGAATGGCTTGTCTTCCCTCGTCCTATTTTTGAATAAGTGGACCTGGGCAGCTCGTCTGATAGATAATTGAAGATATATCAATTTTCATTGCACACGGTGTGTAGCTCCAATTTCGAGTGAATACCTACGTCATTTACATAATGTTGTTCAAGAGAGAGAGAGAGAGAGGGTGAGTCTTCAGGACGTTGTTTAACGGGGAAAGAAAGTTAGTTTCATGCCATGCCCCGCGTTTAACGTGCAAGTTTCATGATAACTCCGATCAGTTGCGAAGTTTGATATTGTTAGAATTATTCTGTCCGGAGAATTGCTAATGCTGCTGATCATGGAAAGAAGGATGGGAGGTCAAGCTTCTACTAAATATACTCCGTGCGATATACAACTCGACAGTCCGACTCGACATGCTCAAGAACAAAAGCCAAAGCAAAGTAGAGAATCTCTTCTCCATAACCCGTCCACAATATATCCCCATCACAATGTAACGGAGGAGAAGGAAAGAAGATGAAAATCTCAACCCGCTGACTCAGCCCTACCTCCCACGATCGACATTCCCCACCCAAGTTTAATTCGAGATCCGAGCAGATCCGAAGTATGACAGCATCCACTTCCCAACGGACACGTTCAACGACTTGTTTTTCTGTGATCTAGTTCAATCACTGAACCACAGTCCAGGGTACGAGTCATGCATGTCATGTGTAGGTTGGAGTACCAGTCAGTCAGTGTTCCGAGGGCTGGGGAGAGAAGGGTACAAAATCTTTTCAGAAAAAGAAAGTTCATAGACGGTCGATCAGTCTAGTCTATCAAACTCTTTTTTGTTTCTTTCCCTCCGTTTCCCGGCCGATTCGGGCCATGATGATATCACGATATCTCTGCACGGATGGCCGGATAGACCCAGTCCTTGGTTTCTCTTCTGCCCAACGAACATCCCCACACAGTTTACGTTGAAGATCTTGCTCAGCTCCGCGGGAGTCTGGGAAAGCCGCGTAAGACCCGAGAGCTAGATCACTTCAATGGATGAAACGTCGGCAATAAAGTTTATTGTTTCCAGGGTGCAGGGGTCCCTTTAGGCTTTGAGTACCGAGGATAGCATGGGAAATGGCTGTAGGGACATACGGAGATGATGCAAAGACGATGGCGATATCCTGGGATTCGGCTTCTCCGGGGGGTTTTGACGACGAAGCTGGACTGTCGTGTAAGGCTAAGAATAGTCGTGATTGCATCATACCGTTGCATTTCCCCCCCCATGTCTTCTGGGTCATTGGTTTGCATTCGATGTGGTGGGAGGAGTTATAATAAGAGGGTGGTGTGGACTGGGGGGTGGGTGAAAAGGCTCTGGTTTCCTGCGAATTCTCCATATCCTAGGACGAAATATCTTCCCGTCTTCATTTTTACTTCTCTAGTGAGCTTCTCTTGATCAGGAAACGCGACCAAGCGGAAAGACACATCCGAACGACGCGCCCGAGTATATATAAGAATCATGCGTATCTTCTCTGCGTTGAGCGGCCTCCTCTTGGCTGGCGCCGCCTTTGCCCAGAACTCGAGCTCGAGCTGCTCGCCCAAGTCGGGCGACGTTCAAGTCGTCCAATTCGGCTGGGCTCTCCAGTATCTCGCCGAGCGATACTACTCGGCACAGCCGCTGAACCAGACCTTCCTGAACAGCGTCACCAACAGCTCGCGCGCCAACTACTACAACAACTTCCAAGGCATCCAGCGGCAAAACCGTCTCGGCGTCCGCGCCGTCCAGCAACTGGGGTCTCAGGTCTCCGGCTTCAGCGCCCCCCGGTGCAACTACACCTTCCCGTCTGCGTCGGACGGCGAGACCTGGGTGAAGAACGCCCTCAAGTTGGAGCAGAGCATCACCGGCGCCTTGATCGGCCTGTCAGGCTACACTCAGTCGCCCGAGGTTTCCTTCCTGCTGGCGCGTTTGTCCGCCGAGCACAACGGCCACGCCTACTACATCGCCAGCCAGCAGCAGGGCACTGTCTTCCCGACCAACAGCTCCTCGCTGGTCCCTGCCTACACTCCGGACTGGGTTCTGCAGAATGGAACCCAGCCCGGAAAGCTGGGCACATACCTCAAGAACTGCGTCTCGCCTCCCTCATCGCCGTGCGGTGAGAAGCTGAAGATCGGACCTCTGATCGGCACTTTCGGATCGAACTCGACTAACAGCACCTCCAACTCCTCTGCCTCCGCCTCGCCTTCGGCAGGACTATTTGCAAAGATGTTCTAGAGAATCTCTAGGATTCTTTGGTTCATGAACTCGAGCGCAGCTGCCTGGCATTCCATAACGTCAAGATCTCACGGCACAAAGGCGCATTCGAGTGAAGATTGCAACGATATCTTGTTCCTTTCTAGGGGATTGATGGTTTTCTATTGTCGACATACTCTGTAATCAATTAATTGTCTCTGCATGTTTATTATTGTACTGCAAGTTAGGAGATCGTGTCATATAATGAATAATGTACAAGACTTCTGAACCTATACATCTCCATCATATAATAGTTCTGGAATGAACAAGTGCGCGTAGTCGCAAGTGAACCAAATCGGTGGGCGTATTTTCTAAACGCAATATCATCTCAGCCTAGGCAGCATGACTTCCTGATGCGAGGATGAGTTTCGGCTGAAAGTAGTGACATAGAGGATAGGTAACGGCACTTCAACTGGCCGAGCCCTAGAAAGCTAAATATCCACTGGGCTTCAGATGTCGATGTCCAGAGGAAGCGCAACACTCATCCAAAGACTTGCGACTGAGGATCAGTCCCCACAGTCGCCATGCCCAATTGGTTGGGAGAATGGCCCGATCCAGTAAGGAAAAGGGTCCATTTCCCGAAGTCTTCCGAGAGGTTTCGGTAGCGCAGACCGCGGTGCAGCGCTTGAGATTCTGCAAACAGCACGTAGCGAATTTTAATCCGTAAAAGGCGTGGCTACGGCCCTTATGAACCAATTCAAGTAGGATGATGATTGCGTGTCTCGTGTCGTGCATAATTTCTATTCGTGTTCCTCATGCCGGCCGAATCAAGGCCAGCCATTTCTCTAGGCTCTCTCCAAGGGTATTGATAAATGGCCACTGGGTGTTTTTGCGGAAAAGGCGGGCCCACAATTTGATCACAGCCACTCCAAGGCTAGCAGGATCTTGGCCAGGGAGAGCTTCGCCATCCTCCAAGTCCATCGAGGTGTATGCTTCCTCGACGATACACCTGGTCCAATGTAGGATGCGATTTTCATTATCTGCAGAGTAATGTCAGCTAGAATTCATGTAGGCCATTGCTTGATTTGCATTCATTCATACCGCTCAAACTCTGATCATGGCCGGTTTCTGCCAAGGACAACAGCCATTTGCTCAATAGAACGGCACATTCAAGACTAGCAATTGAATGGCGGACACTCCAAAAGAAGGCCTGACTGCGTGCGACATGGTCAATTCCAAGTCGCACGGGAATGCTCAAAGCATGCGCTGAATAAATAAGCGCAGGTGTCAACCGGTAACTTCGACCGGGTCGAGGGGATCTGTGTAATGCGTTGGCAATAACATATGGGTCTCTCGTCTCAAGTTGGCGATAAGGCCCCAAATTAAGGGACAGTCGAACATAGGCGAGGCCTAGGAGTGAACTCGAAGTGAACGGGATAGGCCCATTCTCATTATGAGGGTCAAGGCTTGACTCCGGGGCTTGTTGCCAAACTGAAGTCCAAGATCGCAATGCTCGCCTAGTCATTACTGTTAGAAACCATCTGTAGCAGACTAGATTTGAAGTCCAACTGTTCACTTACTCAAGTTTGTTCAATTCCTCTGTGGGTAGTGAGAGCATCTGGTCGCCTGTCGGCAAAGAAAGCTCGCTCACAAGGTGGATGCGCTGAAGAAGGCCATGGAGAAGAATGTAGTTACCCAAAGGTGCCGGGATCGGGTCTAACATGACGGTGGTCCGCGACTGCTGTAACAGGAGTGCCAATGCATCTTGGAAGAACAATTGCTGCGAGCCTACTTCTTTTTGGGCCGCTTCCCATTCCTGGGGCGTGCTTGCTTTCCATTCCTTTGTCGAACATGGGAGACGCAGATGTACTTCGCTGCTGCGAAGTACTGGGTAGATGTTGTATGCTATGCTGTGGACGTGAACGAAGCAGAAGGCAATAAATCGAGTCCGTCGGATAGACTCCTCTTCCACCCATTCGTGCCACTGGAGGGGTGCATGTCTTGGGGCCACGGTGATATTCTCTGTCAAGCCAAAATCGCGGAGACATCGCACAAGCAGATTCTGGATACCAAAAGCCTCCTGGACTAATTCGGCACCTTCCCAAGTGGAGTACGCCATCAGAGAGAGCAAGGTACGGATATTCTCGATTTGCCTCCACGCACTCATCCCAATGGCATTTTCGGATGGCGCGAGTACCGGAGGTTGGCCAGGTTGCTGAGGCGATTCACGCAAATTTTCCAGCGGTATTTGAATAACCGTATTGTAGGCCCCAGCCGGGGGCTGAGTAGATTCTTTGGAAATCCTGTGGAGAGCAATCGCTTTCGCAGCATGGAATATCCTCTCTGCATTGCGATGCTCAAAGCGATACTGCGCACCTACTGTCAAGAGTGCCAGAATAAGCTCCGGAGCGCGCTCGTTGATCCGAAGAGTTGGAACATGAAGGAATGGTAGATGTGGATGGAATCCATCAAAGAACGAGGTCAAGTATCTCGTCAAAGTGTGTCGAGAGGGCAGCACAAAATCTGGAATAAGATGCCGGAACTCTTCTAGGGAAGTCGCGAGGCGCAGCCTTTGCTCTTCGCTCACCTTGAGCGGAGTGGACTTCTTGGAAATCTGAGGCGGTTCTAAGGGAATGATTAGCAACCCACAAATTCTCTGCGGATAATTATCTAAACATGAATAGCCTACCGTAATCAGAGACCGTGCCTAGGCTTTGATCACCCGGGGGCACAGAGGGCAACCAGGACCGGAATGGAGAATCGCCCCGAGAGCCCTCCCTCTGGCCAGGACGGGACGATCCATGCACCTCCCGTGTACTCCGACCCGGGTCGGGGACATCGGCAGGGACTGCACTCTGTACTTGAGGGACATCACCCAACGCAGGCACCCATTCCGAGGGTAATCCAATGGAGTCCAGGAAATGGGTGAATTCTTGGAAGTGGTTCATTTCCTCCGGTAGATATGGCAACGGTTGAGCTAGCAAGCCGTTAGCCGACAGGTATGATAGCGCTAGTAGACGCTCAAGTTACCAGGTGGTTGGGCATCCCGAAAGTTGCCGGGAAGTAGGAGCTGGGCTGCTTGGAGGATGTCGGCATCGTGAGTCACCGCAGGATGCGGTTCGAGAACTGCACTGCTGCTACCGGCATTGAGCATGCCCTGGTTGTGTTCCATATAGGGGACCTGCTGTGGCGGGGGCGGGGGTCCATTCCATTGCTCCATTGTTGTAGGTGGCACCGGGGGAGGCATCTCGGATCGCGGGGTGGGTTGGACATTGTACTGCGGTTGTGGATGTTGCTGCTGCTGAGGCGTCGATAGATCCGACGCCGACGTGTGACGTGCAGCAGCCTGGGACTGGTGCGCCGAGACATCTCGATCTGGTTGGGAGTTGGGCGAGATCAATCCATTATTGTCATGGGTGATGCGCGAGTGTCGTTTCAAGAGATCCCGTCGAGTGAAAGCCGCTCCGCAGAAGCACACATAGGGCTTCTCCTTAGTATCTGCAGAACATTGTCAGCCTGCATTCCTGCAGAGAGGACCTAGCGTCATGTCGCGTGGCGGACGATGGTACGTACGAGTGCGGACATGCCTGTCGAGATGCTCGGTTCTCCTAAAGCTCCGACCACAGTGGCTGCAGACCCGAGGTTTTGCTCCAACACTTGAGCGACGACGGGCTCGGGGGTATTGCGAAGATTGGGAAAACATCAAGTCATTTGGGGGATCCTAAATTGATTCTAAACAAACAAGGTAGGGAGGGGGTAAAGGACTCTCCACTTTTGGAGAACAGCAGGGGCAGTGACAAGAGGGCAATCCGGAGGCGATCGGACAATTGACGGAGGGGAAAGTCGCCCGTGACTCCAACACGTGCTCCAACGCCACTCGACTCGGTCTCCACTTCTTCCCGTGACGATCTCCAACTATTACTCTCGCATTCAGGATTTAATCATAGATCATACTATACTAAAGTATGTGAGACGACGGACGAAGAATATTCCTGGTCACTCCAGTCCCTAAACTCAGTCATGCCGCTCGCATATTCATTCCCCGGAGTCGCCGTCATCACCGGAGCTGGCGGCACAGGTATGCTCCACGATCACTTCTACTATCTTATATATAACTGTAGCACTTTCAACCGCAAACATAACGTCTAACATCATCCAGGCATCGGAGCAGCCACAGCTCGAGCATTCGCCCAGGCAGGATGTTCAAACATCGCAATTACAGATGTCAACCTAGAATCTCTCGAACAAACCCGACAATCTATCCTCACCACATACCCCAACACTCAACTAATGGCCCAAGCAGGAAACGTTGCAGACGAACAATTCGTTGAATCCTTTATGGGCCATGTAGTCGACACGTTCGGGCGCATTGACTACGCAGTCAACTGCGCAGGGATTTTGGGGAACGCACAACGATCGACAGAGACGACGACAGAAACCTTCGATCATATCAACAACGTCAACTATCGAGGATCCTTTCTCTGTTCGCGAGCAGAGTTGAAGCATATGCTCCGGCAAGATCCCCTTCCAAGCCACGACCCCGATCGTACCCCGCAACGAGGATCGGTGGTCAACGTTGCCAGTCAGTTGGGGATTGTTGGACGGCCTAGCGCTCGTGAGTGTGGACCTACCCTAATATGGTAAACGAGTTCCGTACTGATCATGACAGCCGCATACTGTGCTTCCAAAGCTGCTATCATAGCCATGACTCGGTCGGATGCGATAGATTACTCGAAGGACAATATCCGGGTGAATTGTGTCTGTCCCGGCGTTATCGAGACGCCCATGACCACATACAGCGAGGAGGTCCGAGAGCGATTGAAGCCGGCCGTCGATATTGCTCCGATGAAGAGAATGGGGAAGCCAACGGAGGTTGCTGATACAATCTTGTTCCTATGCTCGACGTTTGCATCTTTTGTGCAGGGGCATGCGCTTGTTGTCGATGGAGGGTATGTCATTAACTAAGGAATAGTGTAATGTAACTGGAAATAATCATCTTGACCTCTTAGGTACTCTTGAAGTACGTGTTTTTCATTCTAGCTGTTTTCTTAATCTCTTTGCGATGTTTACGTAGACCCTTGCACTTGTTTTACATGGGAAGACATACCATCAAACTAGCAGCAAATAACAAAATTCATTAAATTCCCCTCATACTCTGGTATATCCAAACAGTCGTAAAGCGGTCTATGCATACCATCTATATCTCCTAGACAGGTCCTCATACACCTTCCTTCCAGTTAAAATGCGTCTCCCACGCGCGCCCAGCCCTCAGAATCTTCGACTCCTCCCACAACCCCCCAACGATCTGCATACCCACAGGCAATTTCATCTGCGGGTCATCCTTCGCGGGCGCAAAACCCACGGGTATTGACATGGCCGGCTGGCCCGTGACATTAAAGATAGCCGTGTTGATCGTCAACCCCGAACTCGGCGTGACGGACTCGATCGGCAGGCCACGTTTCGCATTCCTCGGCGCAACAACCGGCGTCGTGGGCATGACCACCACGTCGAATTTCGTGAACACCTCCTCGTACAGATCCCGAAGTTTGCGGCCAATGTTGCTGGTCTTGCTGTACAGGTCGGGAAACCGAGAGGAGAGATAGAGTCCGTTGATGATGACATTCTTGGTGGATGGGAATGCGCGCTGGAAGCCCTCCTGCGTCCAGGGGAGTCGTTCGCGCTCCATCTCAGTCATGTAGAGACCCCGACGGCCTGTGGCATGACCGAGCAGGCTCTGGGAACCGGCGATGCGTTGCTGGATGGTCCAGATGGCGGGTCCGTGGAAGTGTTCGGGGATGGACACTTCTTCAATCGTGGCGCCGAGCTCGGTGAATTTTTGAATCGCATCCTGTACGGTTTTCTTCACAGCGGGGTCGACCATGCTGTGTTCGAATCCTTCTGTGAGGATGGCAATCTTGAATCCATCGAGTCTGGTGGACCCGGTTTGCAGGGTGTTGGCGTAGAGCGTCGATCCGTGCTTGGGGCTTCCCAGGCATCTGTCGTCCATTCCGTCGTAGCCGCTGATCGAGTCCAGACATGCGGCTACGTCGAGGACATTTCTGGCTAGGGGTCCGGTGTGGTCATTGATAGCATCACCGCTGCTGATCCCACTGTAGGGCACCAGACCGAATGTGGGTTTAAGCCCGACACCTGGAGATAAAGAATTAGCATTATTCTGGAACAGGAGGAGAAAATCATATCGTTCGTTCACATACAACCACAAAATGAAGCCGGCACACGGATACTCCCCCCTTGATCACCACCAATAGTGATATCCACCAAGCCCGCAGCAACCAAAGCAGCACCCCCGGAAGTACTACCCCCAGAAGAATACCCAACAGCGAAGGGATTCTCAACCGTCCCCTGCGCACTCGTAAACGAGGAAGTCGAATGACACAGATTCTCACAAGTCGAAGTCCCCAGGATATCGGCACCGGCGTCCAAAACCCGAGTCACGACGGTTGCATCCGAGACGGGCGTCCAGGACGGAATGATATCGCTTCCATGGAATTGAGGCACACCAGCCACAGCGATGTTGTCTTTCAGACTAACTGTCTTCCCCGCAAGAAGACCGCCGTTCGCATTGCCCTTGATGAGGTACTTGTGGGCCCATGCTTGGCCTAAGACCTGTTCTTCGGGAGACGGACGCCGGACATTTTGACGGGGATAACGATCCAGATCAGGCAAGGGTTGATAGTCCGGCATGTTCGAGACCGTCTCGGCACAGTCGTGTACCGCTGCTAGCAGCGTTTGGAAGTCATCTTCTTCGTCCGGTTCGACGGACAGGCCTACGGGTCGGAGAAGATCCTGGACATCGCCTTTTTTGACCGGGTTATTCCTATCGCGACAGGTAAGCAAAGGACATTCTCAAGAAAAAAGAGACTTGAACTTACTCAGAAATCGACGTGAACAGCACCGACATGGTGATGTAGCGAGCGAATGAAACAAAGTGGCAGGCTGCTGTGGGTGTAAAACAGTAAGTAGTAGAGGCCGTCAGCGACAATACAGCTTCGTACGGGTCATGAAGGAAATATATGTAGAAAAGTAGGTCGCATTTTCAGTAACCAAAGACCCCATCATGTCTCCAATATCATTAGAGCTGCATTTACATAAGAATGGACAGAATCTCCATCGCCATCGCCATTTTTCGTCTGCCGCTTCTCCAACCCCAACTGCCAAGCCCACGGGCTCTTATCACCTCTGTTGGAGTAGGCATGAGGCGACTCCAACGTGGCAGGACAGGATCGGCGAATATCAGAATTCTAGCCATTTAGTTTAGTGCCTTTAGTTAAGACTAGCCGGAGACCGTCCGTTCGGTGGATGTCAATTTAGCATGGTTGAATCCCGCGTTCATCTCATGGCGATGGGTCTCCGAAGCCGCCCGGGGATTGATAGCGAGCCGGTACAGAGTAGATATTCGTTAATTTAAGCAAGAACCTATTACTGAGGAAAAAGTGTAGTTTTCTTTTCAAATTCTTCTGATTCTCAATATTAAGAAACGCTTAGACATTCGAAATGCACGATCCCTGCCCCGAGCAATGATCAGAGGCCCGACCGTCATGCGGTAATTTCAATAGGTAACTAATCCCGAAAGCCGCTCTTGAAGATACTGCCGCCATGAAACCCCCAGGAGACAGGCATCAAAGTGGTCTTTTATAAATAAGATAACTAATGGAGGGAGTCTCTTTTTTATTCGCCATGTTAGTTATCGCACCCTCCAAACTACAACGAAGTGTTAGGGCTCTGCTAGTCTCATGACCGAAAGAGGAGGACGCAAGGGGTCAATCCTTGCTATTGACCAATTCATTCAATTCGCAATGCTGTCTCGGCTGAGCTAGTAACTACTTAAATGGACAGGACAGCTAGCTCATAGAACATGCACAATCGGCTGTTTTCCCCCTATCGTATATTTTGACTCATTTGCCACTGAGTCGCTGACATCACGACCTCCCCCGAGTACTACACCTAACGTTACGTGTTAATTTATTCTTCCACAACGAGAAAAATGCAATGTATGTTTATTTAAAGTAAGCTTCTTTTCGCTCCCACTAGAGCATCTACCTGCTATCGACCACTCCCTACTCCATCCTCGATGATCACGCCAGTCTTCTACAACGGCAGGGTCATCCCGGTCGAGCATCAAGTACTCCAATTCGTGGTTTCGACCGAGCCCGATCGCTCCTCCAATGGGATATTTCTGTGGCATCTTGAGCTTCTAGAGGCGCGGGGTACGGACAGAACCTGCCAAGTGTGATCGCTGATTAGTCCGTGGGCGTTATCAGTTCGTTCGTGTGGATCCTGGACTCCAAGACTGTTATCAATCGACCTTGCTACATGAGGTAGAGAGACGGTCCCTTATCGATGACAGCCAGGGTTGCAGGCTGCTTATCAGGGAAGCCAAGGAAGTTAGAGGCTGATCTCAATAGCATATATAAGATAGACGGCATACCACGCCAATGATCCTGGTTTCTGCAGAAGCCCTGGTTGATTTATTCAGTTCCCCTTAAGCAGATCCCGTTCTATCATGGCGACTTCTCCCGATGATACCAAAGACTTCAAGATCGCGGCGGGTAGTCCGCCCCCGGATGACATTGGCATTGCCAATTCTGAAGAGATCAAAGGTGGAGATGACCAATATGAGGTTTTCAAGAGAGGGGATGGCCAGGTCGACTTCCGGACGGTGAGCTGGATCCGCGCATCGGCCATCTTTCTCAAGAGTAAGATCCTCACCGGCAGTTGGATTGCACTTTAACAGATTCTGACGCATCACAGTGCTCTTTGCTACTGGCATTCTCTCCATCCCGTCGGTTATGTATGATCTCGGTGCCTTTCCGGGAGCCGTGAATCTAGTAGGCTGGTGCCTCCTCAACGCATACGGAGCTATCATCCTGGGAGACTTCCGCAATCGGCATCCCCAGTGTCACTCGGTGGCGGATATGGCTGGAGTCATCGGCGGGCCTATTGCCCGGGAAATCGTGGGATCCATGTTCATCGTTTCCTATGTGATCACGGCCGCCTCCGGCGTAATCGGCGTCTCGGCTGCCTTCAATGCTTTATCGCTTCATGCTATGTGTACGGTCTGGTGGTCAGTCGTCGCGACGGTCATCATCGCTGCATTCGCCAGCGTCCGAAAGTTCTCCCACATTGGATGGCTCACGTGGGTTGGCTTTTTCAGCGTCCTGGTGGCAGTTTTTATCATCGTGTATGCATGCAATCCCCTCGCTCACCGTGAGGTTAGTATATATCCCAACTGAAGACTGACAAATTCAACCTCTAGTATCGGCGTAACAACCCGAGATAGGCCGGCCGTTGCCCCTCAGACCGGAGACTATGACTTCGGTTACCGCGTCATTGGTCATCCTACCTTTGCAGCCGGCATCACTGCCGCAGCGACGATCTTCGTCTCCAGCTCAGCTACATCCGCCTTCCTCCCGGTGATATCAGAGATGCGCAACCCCAAAGACTACCCCAAAGCGGTATACCTCAGCATGGGTTTCGTGACGGCCTCGTACCTCAGTTTTGCGCTGGTGATCTACCGCTGGTGCGGAAAATGGATCGCCGCTCCATCGCTCGGCAGTGCCGGCCCAACGGTCAAGCGAGTCGCGTACGGCATCGCATTACCAGGCCTGATCGTCAGTGGATCTCTGTACGTGCATGTTGCCGCTAAGTATCTCTTTGTGCGAATCCTGCGCAACTCGAAACACCTGCAGTCAAACAGTCCGACACACTGGGGAACGTGGCTGAGTTGTACGATTATTCTCTCGGGGATCTCCTTCGTGTTGGCTTCTGCGATCCCGATTTTCACGTATGTATTGGCGTTGGTGGGGAGTCTTTTCTTTGCGCCGCTGGCAATCAGCTTGCCGGGGTTGTTGTGGCTGTATAGTCACGACCATTATCGACGGGGGAATGTGATGCGGAAGGTAGTGTACGGTTTACATGTCGGTATTGTTCTGCTAGGGGCATTCATGGCTGTCGGCGGGACGTATGGGGTGATTGTTCAGATCATGGATGCTTATAAGAGCGGGAAGATCGACAAGGTGTTTTCTTGCGCAGATAACAGCGGATCGGTCTAGATGCGAATGCAAAATTAGCGATTTTGATTACCTCGTTTGATAATTCCAGGTATTTGTGAGATTATATGATTTTGTACGACTTACTGCCAGGCGATATACACACAGAAGAGGTGATTTAACCGAGACATCAAATAAACCAGCAGGGACAGCGGTAGGACTGAGTCACGGTATCCCTTGCTTACTTCTCCTGCAGGTTAGTTCAACAGGGAAAGTGCCCCAGTTCAACAAACCGGAAAGTTTTCCTATGCAAAACGTACAGGATGGGAAACGGATCAAGTGACTGCCATAATCCCATCATCATTGTATTCATGATTTATGTAGCGCATGACCTCGTTGGCCTTAATCTTAATGATCATTGCATGACCCGGACCGATATGCAGAGATGATAATCCTTCAGCATCGGACAATAAAACTTCGAATCTCGGTCCCCTCGTTGCTTTGCGTGTGCGGAATCCGACAGGATCCCGAATCGCTAGCACCAATCGCTCCGACGGTTTGGTTACGGGCACAATCGTCGTCTTCGAAGAGCGTCACCGTACACAAGGGCTGTGTGAATCTCCCAGGAATATATGCTAAACCTCCGCCGTTGAGGATAGCGCCCCGACAAAGTGTGCTCCCATTTCCCGAAAACGTGGTAACTTCACCCGTGCAGTGTTGGTTCTGAAATATGTTGAACTCCCATGAAGCGTTTGGGTTGTGGTGTTGCTGTTGGATGTTTGATGAAGTTGCAGCGACAGTCTGTAGGAAAGAGAAAAGGATAGGAGAGATTGCGAGAATGGGTTTCATGGAGGTTGTATAGGTCTAGTCGGTCGGATGCGGCGGGTTTCGATTCTATTCGCTCGATTGCGATGGGCAAATGATGTGTTCGTGCTGTAGGTACAAAGTTTGCTTAGTACGTCTTCCAATATATTTGTCAGTCCAAGAAGCACTGAGAGCCGACCTGCACAAGAAGAGAATCGATTTTCAATTAATAAACGCCGACTCGAGGTTTGGTAGTAATTCAGATGCAACCCAGAAAGAACCGCACAAAACGCTTTCGGAGTGAAATAAGGAACGCTGAATTAGGCTACTTAAATGAAGATTTGTGAAAGGCCGGAAGCAAGGGGCATCACCCGCACCCATTAATGTCATTTCCCACTCACCCAAGAAAGTCTTCTTCGTTTTGGTTCCCTGATTCTGTACAGACCCTAGCGTCAAGAAGTAGGTATGTCTTAGGTTTCACTCAAGCCACACATCATTGGCTGGGTTGGGTTCGGTGAATATTCGTCTCATTCGCAGCCGATTTCTTGTAGAAAGAGGTCTATGTTGCTGGAGATGTCGTCCTGGTCTAGTTCTGGTTGGGCATTCCCACCAGCACTATGGTAGTCCAAAACTTCACTGTAACTGCAAACCTGGTCAGTTGACAAACTTGCGGAGTAAACTTGGTTGCACCAACATCATGAATCTCCACGTATCTTTGGGCAGATCGGCGTCATTGAATGACCAGTCGAACTCCTTTTCTGCCGCAGGTTCGTCGTTGGGATCATGATAAGGCGCTAAATAGGGGTGCTTCAGAGACTCCTCGGCAGATATTCGCTTTTCCGGGTCAAATACTAGCGTCTTCTCAAGGAGATCGACGGCTGTTGTACGATATAAGCTAGGGATACCAAAGACGCCTCGACTATGAACGAAGTGCTTACCATGATCATCAAACCCCGAAAACACATTTCTCAGCTGGTGCGAGCCTTTCTTTGGCAATGAATTGACAAGCCGTCGCGTCTAGCACTTTTGGTCAGCATTGCGGATTATAAAGTCAAGATCTGTCACGTCCAAACAAACATTTGCGCTCGTAATCCTCTCTATTACTTCGTCTGGAGGATTGCCGATAATATCAGTGATCAAGTAGAACTGGTTGATATGATCCTTCCCGGGAAACAGTGGTTTGCCCCGTAGCATCTCGGCGAAGATGCAACCCACGCTCCATATGTCGACGGCGTCATCATATCGTTGCCACGTTAGCATGATTTCGGGCGCCCGGTAATATCGCGTTGAGACGTAGCCCGTCATCTGGGGTTCCCTGACGCGAGCCAAGCCGAAGTCACAAATTTTCAGATCACAATTCTCGTTGATAAGCAGGTTACTCGGCTTGAGATCCCGATGGATCACACCGGCTGAGTGTATGTATTTCAATCCTCGCTGTAAACAATTAGACAAAACCAACATACATTTGTCTGCATCAATGGGAGCAATACCATTATTTGATACATAAAGAACTGTGCAAATCTGGCATCCAACGGTTTCGCCCTCATTAGTTGATTGAGGTCTGTCCCTAGAAGCTCCGTGACTAGGTATCTACAATCCCTCGTTAGTGAGCCGCAGCTATTTACCCGCAACACGGGATGAAGCTGGATGTGATCAACCATACACGTCTTCTAGGGGCGAAATGAAGATATCCGATAAGCAGATGAGCTGTGCATCGTTAGCATGACAACAAATCTAAGCCCTTCTCTTATTATTCAGGCACATACATTCTCGTGCCGGAGTTGCTTCAACAGCTTAACCTCTCGGTAAGTACGCTTAGCAAGAGCCGTACTGGCAAACGGGGTCATCATTTTCTTGATGGCCACATTTTGCTGACCGATTAAATCATATGCGGAGCTGACGTGGACAGGTTAGTATTGCCCAAGAGGGGACTGTTCAACGAGGCGCGTCTATCCTCAGGGGTGGGAGAAGGGAAAAAAGGGTGAGAATACCAGACAAGCCCAAAGGCACCCAGACCAACGGGTTGCACGTTTGCATATCTAATTGAGTGTTACCCAAGGGGATCCATTGTAAACCACGTCCTTTTCAGAAGGAAGAATACCTGGTGGTGGTCTCGAAGGTCGTCCCCAGGATCTCCGATCGACTGAATTCGGCCATGCTGAGTGCTAAGAAAAAAAATCAAGGCTGATGATGTAAAACAAGTGGGCTAATACTGAGAGGCAAGAACGCTAGGATGATTAAGATATTAAGGAAAGGCAAACGAGATGATCAAGATGAAACGGAGGCAGAGTTTGCCTAGGAAGTATCTTCCGCAGTGTGTGAACCAGGTACCATCATAGGCCCGGAAGAATCCAGTGAGGGCGGCAGTTCTCACAGACTGTTCAGTCAGCCGTTCCTTCCGGTCTGTTGTTAGTTTAGGGGGAAAGGCCCGGACAAAGACAGGGGAGGCAGGGGAGGGGTGAAAGGTGGAGGGGGGTAAGATTAGGACTAAGGGTAAGGGTAGGGAAGCCAGGTGGCCAGGAAGCCAGGAAGCCTGGGAGCCTGGAGAATGTGGTGGAAAGGCAGAAGGTGGACAAAGTGGCCGAGGGAGACCAAAAGGTGGGCTACTGAGGCTTGCCGATAAAAGAGACTGGCCTGGGCGAGTATAGATGCCATCCCGCCCTCTGATTGGCGGGATGAGATGCCAGCCAGCGGCCGCTCAATCAAGTTAATCAAGGCAGCGTAACCACACCTTTTTATTATTTTCTCTCGCCGTATCCACCGCCATCGCTGCGGGTTATTGGCGGAATGCCTTCCAGTTGATGCTTACCTACAGGTTCCGGAGGTATACCTTACTTACGGAGTAGCTAGTATGTGGCCATTGACACTCGGTCTGGCTCGCCTACGGTGAAACCCTCTCTGCCTCAGGCATACATCAGATACGGCCTTTCACCCGCCAATAAAAGGAGTGGAGTCAACCAGTTCGTTATTTTGACGGATTTTCCTAGACTTTTAAGTAATACTGTCAATCCCTTTTTGGGAGGCTTTTAATTGGCTCTCCCAAAGAAAAAAAAAAAGAAAAAAAAAAGAAACCTCTTCTCCTCGCTGTCTCACCTGTCGCCATAACCCTCCTGTCCACTCGAATGACTCCGACTACCGATTTTCGGTCTCCGAGACTCCCACCAATCAGTCACTATCGTCCAGCAGGTTGACTGGTGGCCTCGAGGGTGCTGGTGCCGGTGCTTTGGGCATCATCGAATCGATTATTTTCAGGAGTTGCTCGTCGGCCTGCTGCGCACCTCCATTGGCAAATTCCTGATACCGTCTCAAGGCTTCTCTGCGAGAGCCATCGACATCGACACCTATGTTGGGATGTTTAACAACTGGGGGAGGAATTGGACGTGTCGACTTCGCTGCGGGCCTGACCGTTCCCTGGGAACAGTCGCAAGAGCAGGTATGGGTTGACGCGCAAGGTTTAGCACACGGGTGGCCACATGGCAATCTCCTGTCGCAGTCTCGGTCGCATCCAACTTGGTCATGCGCAAAGCTAGCGAAAGAACTGGCTTAATAACCGGGTTGACGCGGAATACAGGGGATTTTGCTATGCTCAAACTTACCTGTGACATCGCAGAGGACACTTATGCCCACAGTCTAGCAGCCCGCCACATTCATAATGGCACCCGCCGTTCGTTCTATCCCATTCTGACGGCTCTTCACCTCGAGTCGTTAGCGAGATCCGCTGAAACACACAGATTTCGGATATGGACGAATACAAACCCTGGATAAACACCTTCCTGCCGTGCTTGACACATGTTAGGGGCAGATAGAACCCCAGGCGCCGCGGTTGATCGGTGCCCATGATGTTAATGACTCTCCACCATAACGGATCTGCACAAGCAAGCGACATGGCGTTTCCGAAGATATAGAACCCCCTTTTCGCGCGCGACAGAGCTACGCAGACCCTGTTTTCGACAGACAAGAATCCGACAGTGGACTTGCCACTGCGCACGAGTGACAGGAGAACAACTTCGTTCTCTTCGCCTTGGTACGAGTCAACCGTCACTACATTCACGTAATGACCTTGAAGATACGAGTTGCCTTTCAGTAATTTAAGCAACCTCTTTCTCTGGCCATTGTAGAATGTAAGGATGGTAATGTCCTCGACCCGCGTCCCGTTGAGCACAAGGTGAACGAAGAAGCCCACGACCATATTCGCCTCCGCCTCATTGAACTTTGATGCCAAGCTATCGCTGCTTTCTGGCCATTTGTGAGAAAAGAAAAACGACCGCATATCGCCCATGCCAGGAATGCCAGGGCGATTCTGGACGGACTCGTGGTCTTGCAACCCGCCATAGATCGGTTCCAACAACGCGCGTATCTCGGGCGCCATACGCCTTTGTCTTCTCAGCGTAGTATATTCTAGGCCGTTGTGGAGAAGACGCTCGAACATTGAGACGTCCAAGAAGAACGGATCGCCCTCAAGATCCTGGACTGAACAACTTCCCTTGAGCTGCTGGTGATCGCCAACCAGAATCAGCTGTTGGACGGACTCAAAGCAAGCGGTCGTTATGGGTGCCTCGATCGCCTCGGCTGCTTCTTCGATCAAAATGATTCTTGGGTTTACGGTCGAAATTAATCCCCGGTACTTGCTCAGGCCTGTGGCTGTCACCCCAATGACTCTGGCATCCTGGAGAATGTGATGGTCTCTTTCAAATTTGCCAATCTGAAGATCTTTTGTAGTCTCTGTGTAAACGGCAACTAGTTTGCGAAACGCCTCGAGAACCTTGGCTTTGGCTGCTTTTCTTAGAGCATTGTAGACAGCCCCCCGCGCTCTAACTGGTATCTTCCAGAAGTCATGGGACCTGAGGTATCCTTGACAAACTGCATCGGGCAACGAGCTGTCCTGGCCGCAATACCCTTCTTTTAAGGATATGAACTGGCCTTGGAGAACCTCAAAGTCGTCATCATCTATTCCTTGCTCGGCTTCAAGTTCTTTAAGTTGCTCGTATTCAAGATCGACTTCGTCCTCGGCGAAGCCGAAGTTCTCCGTCTTGTAATCCACCTCGAATTTCACCACTTTCTCGCCAAGCCACACAGCCAGCGGATCAACGTCATCCTTTCGGCCCGAGCGGATCCAGCCTTTGGCTCCTTGGACAAGTGCGTTGGACTGCTCTTGGCTTAACAGTCCGATTTTAACGAAAAAGGAAGACGGAAGTGGCCTGCCTGCATTCTCGGCGTTAAATGCTTGCAACAATTCTATCATCGGCAGAACCATACTCCTCAACTTTTTTCTTGCCGGTCCCATCAAGCCCCCTTGAACATTCACAGACGGTCGGTTTTGTCGAATGGAAAATAGTGTCCTCTTTTTGATCTCAATATCGGTGCTTCGAGCTCCCACCCGGATGTATCGCTTCTCGAAGCTTGATATGTACTTCAGAAGCTGGTCCAGCGCGTGATTTGTTTGAGAAGATACAATGATCGGAGGGTCATCAGGTTTCATATTTGCAAGCATGATCCTTAGCGCCACAACCGATACATGTGTCTTTCCCGTACCAGGAGGGCCCTGGATTATGGAGAGGCGTTTCGTGAGCATCTGCTGCAAGGCTTTCCACTGGGTGGCGTCGAGGTCACCGATTGGCTTTCTCGGCCAATCCCTGAGAATATCAATTCGACCCTCGTTGCCGGAGTTTTCAACATCCGGTTGTATATCAACAATCGGACTCTCTTCCACGTAAGCGGGGGCATCGACATTTGTTTCCAAGAGGCAAATATGCTCGGCTAGGGGAAACCTAACAACATATGAGCCGCGAGTCAGGAGCAGAGTGGAAAGCGCGCATAGTAGGTTTCTTCACTTACCTTTCCTGACTCATTCTTTGAAGAGCTTTCATAGTATGTCTTGTGGATTCATAGTACCCGTTCTTGGCTTGGACCATGATCCATTCTTTTTGAGAATCAAAATCCGCGTCTTCCGGCCGCCCAAAAAACAAATCAATCTCGGGGGGCTGCTGCTTCACGCCTTCCAAGGGCCTTGCTGCAACAATTGCCACGACACATTGACTTTTGAACGCGTCGCTCGCCGGCGACAATGCGACAATTGAGCCACTTCTCAGCCGTGAAGAATACTCCCAAGCAATGTTCTTACCCGCCCTGATAGTTGAAAACCGGATTCGAAAAGCCAGACCTCTCTGTGCAAAAGTGGTGCCGGTGATGTAGACCTGCAGTGAACGCTGGGGATTAGATGGTACTCGCGCTGCTAAAGCCATAGCAGGGAGTCTGACCTTTTCATAAATCGCTACCATCTTTGAATCTTCCATGCTCGGATCCTCTCTGACATAGGCAACTGCATCCCTCAGAGGAGCAATGGCGTCCTCCCTAAGCAGCTCATAATGAGCCTCTAGGTACGCACTTTCGGATCTCCAGGGACCGATGATCCGGTTAGGTATCAAATCAATGCAATTGTTTGAGTCGATGCTCAGGATTTCTTCCGTGGATGGAACCTCGGGTTTAAGAAGCCATGGCTCGGCATCTTCAAAATCGGGCTGATTGAAGTATTCTCTCACGTCCAGATTCACAGGCCCAGCCGAACCCGTTGTTAGCCGCGAAAAATGGTCATGAAGATGCTTTGAAGGCAACCCGGGAAGAGATTCATTGGTTGAATCCATCATGTCTATTCCTTGGGCTACTGAACCAGGGCAGCTCACAGGTCTGACTGATGATAGAAAGTGCTAATGATTCGAGGTAATGGATTGTGAAAGTAATAGTAAAAAGAGGGCTAGGGGAAGTGGGATGGATGAAAGAAGAATGAGCTCAAAAACAACATGAGTGAAGGAAGAAAAGATGTGGGAAGAGGAGGCAGGAGGGAAAAGAGGGGAGGGGAGCGTTTGCATTCACGGATGCGTACATGAACGTTTGAGACAGTATTCACGAAGTGCGCCACTCAGCCAAACTAATCTACATCTTGAACCTTGTGAAACAGCACTATCAGAACATCTCACTTGGTGAAATAATCGTCTTTCATTCCTGCTGTTTTGCGGAAGAGGGCTCAGTGCTTTGTGATTATTATAACTTCTTTAAAGGTTCAATCTTGGTGTGAGAGGGCAGTGGTTAGACTGATGCCATGAAGTACTGTGTACTCTTGGTATTCTACGTGTTGATACATAGAGGGCATAGCTAGATGGATTTAAAGCTCATGGTTCACAAGAGTAAAGTGAAACCAAGACTATGATCAGGTGAATCCAATGTGCTTTCACATCTGCTGCTATCTGGCTCTTTGTTCCCCAGGTGTGAGGCATGTGTTATTGAATTTGGATGAAGAGGGATCAGCGGTGCACGTTGGATGGAATAAAATGTGCCAGTCATCTCAGGGAAATCTCAATTTATTGCCGATCAAGATCGAAGAGGATCTACAGGTAAAGAGTGACAGGTGATGCCTGATTGATGCCTGCTTCATGCCTGAGGTGTCAAAGGACGTGAGCGGACTAACCGGAAGGGAATGGCTTTCTGCCTCAGGCATCACAGAGTGGGAAACGTGACTGACGTCGGGGAAAAGATGCGGGCGGAGGTATGGAGAGGTTCATTCACACTTTCTTTGTCGTTTGATGCGCCCCCATTCTCCTATATACATTATACCCCCGAGTCCTATCATTCACCTCGACCCTCTCGCCCTCGAGGACTATTGTCATTCGATATGTACCCCTAATCCACAATAGTTATTATACCGTGCGCCATACATTGAAACGCTAGCTCTCGCTCACGATTGAGCCAATTCAGGGTTATTATTAGTCGCGACACATTAGTCTCCTCTTATATATATCACACTACAGTGTGCTTAACTTTGCATCTCGGGAAGAACTGAGATTTAAACGCCTCTCTCCTAGGAAGATGGCCTCGATGGAAGAAGGCGACGACCGCGATCTTGCAGGTGAGGGCTCCTTGAATGTTCCGGCTTTGGAGTGCTGAATGCTGACAAGTATGGTTTGGATAGGATCGCAAGACGGAAGCTCGGACAATGAAATGGAAGACACACTCAGGGATGCAGACGACGGTGGGAACGATAACGATGCCGATGCCGACCAAGACGCGGATCAAGACCCGGACAGCCCGTCAAACGCCAGCCATGTATCCGATAGCGCAGGGGTGGCCGCGCAACCGAATCCGGACGTGGAGATGACCAATGTTGGTCCGACAAATCTCACCTCCGATCCGATATCTGCGCTTCATCCCAGCGTGCGGCCCGAATGCCTGACTGCCTCCACGTACGACATCGTGCCTACGACGGCCGCGCCCCATAGTACTTCGATCAATGCCGTGACTGCCACGGCGGACATGAGATGGGTGTTTAGTGGAGGATCCGATGGATATGTGCGGAAATTCAACTGGGTTGACTCGATCAACAGCAAATTGATGCTGACCGTGGCGCAAAGACATCCGTTCGTGGACAGTGTGGTGAAGGCGGGGGTTCTGATGACATATTGGGAGAACATGGACGGGAGGCAGCTTTCGCCGGTGTATTCATTGGCAAGTCAAAGCGAAGGCCTGTGGTTGCTGTCCGGTCTGGAGTCGGGCGCTATCCGGCTACAGTCTGTGCGCCACGACGAGGGCAAAGAAATTGCGCTGCTACATGAGCATAACTCGGCGGTCTCGGTGTTAAATTTGACTTCCGATGAGCAATCACTGCTGTCTGGAAGCTGGGATAAACGGGTATTCGATTGGGACCTAAACACCGGACAAACGAGGCGCACGTTCGGATCCAGTGCCGGACAGATCTCTTCCCTGGACATACGGCCAGAATCCAGCCTCCCGATTCCTAAGGAAACGCCGGAAGATTCGCAGCCTAACGGGACCTTCTCATCCAATAATCAAGCTAGCGATAGCAATACCTTCAACTTTGGTGACAACTCCAACGACCAAGGCGCTGCGGGAGACTCGTCGAACCAGCAGGCAGGCTCGCCAGCAGATTCATTGTTTGGCGGGGCTGATTCATTGTTCGGTGATGGAGACGGTGCAGGCGGAGAAGGCGCGAACACATCGGGAAATGCCTTTGGGATCGATGAGGATGATGAGTTCGGCAAAGCTCTCGCGAATGGCGTTCTTCCCGACGCAGATGCGCCAGGTGAAACCGACACGACAGGTCAGCCGAATGGCGTCGCTGAACCGCCTGCGAATTCCACAAACGCCGGTGACGCAAACGTAGACAACGCGAATGCGACCAACCAACCTTCAGAGTCTCAAGGCGCCGATTTTCCCAACGGCACATCACAGCCTGTCGTTAACGGGCTCCCTCACGCCGAGGACCTAGAACACCCCCCACAAACCCAGGACTCTTCCCAACCAACACAAGCGGACTCTAATATCGGGCCCGATAATATTTTCCTAGCTGCCTCAATCGACGGTATCATTCGCGTATGGGACCGACGACAACCGGACCCCGTTTCGCGCATTGTCCCTCGCAACTCTCCGCCCTGGTGTATGAATGCATGCTGGTCTCCCGATGGCAACTATATCTACGCCGGTCGTCGAAACGGAACCGTCGAGGAATTCAGTCTTCACAAGGGCCTCCGGGATCCCGAGCGGGTCTTCAAATTCCCCCAAGGCAGCGGGCCGGTCACTGCTTTGCGAGCAATGCCTAACGGACGACACATTATGTGGTAAGTTTTCCTTCAACATTCGTCCTCTCAACCCATCCCATCATTAATCCGTGCTCGTTCATCCAGTGCATCCCACGACATTCTTCGATTATACGACCTCAAACACGAACAAGTCGCCCGCCACTCGACCGTCCCATTCCTCATCATCCCCGGCCACCGCACAGGAACCGTTTCGCAGCTCTACGTCGACCAAGCCTGTCGTTTCATGGTCTCCACGAGCGGCAACCGAGGCTGGGAGGGCAACACCACCGAAGTCCTCCTGGGATACGAGATCGGTGTCCCACGATAAATCTTTCGACGGCGCATTCGCACCCACTGTACACTATCTACTACTATTTCTATATACCATGGTGCAGATTCCTGTTAGCCGATCTTATTTCCATCGCTTGTGCTGGTCGTTTTTCTTCCTTCCTTCCTTCCTTCCTTCTACTAGACCTAGCTGTTTGGTTCCTCTCTCATGGCTAGTCTTCATCTTCATTCACCACTGTCTTCGAGATGGGGCGATACCCGCGTGGCGTTGCTTTTCTAAGGTACTTCTATGTATCACTGTTATGCTGACGATAGCGTTATAATTGGACCAGGACAATACAATTAGAAGATATGATTTGATGAGTTTTATGCTCCAGGCTCCAGTCGATACTATGATCGGATTGGATTCGATAATGACGTAGACGCGGTTTTCTTAATCATGGTTCGATCGAACTGCCACTAATCATCGTGGAGATCATATATCATATATGCATTTATAAGCTCTTGATACATCAGAACAGAGACAAAACCGGGGGAAATATACTACACCATGAACACCCACCAGACACAAACCGGACATGTACATCATAAAAAGATCATTTACCAATCACCCCAAAGCCCAAACCCGAAGGAATACTAACGAAACACCACCAGCAAGCAAACCAAGAAACCAAAAGAAAAAGAAGAAAGGCTACAAATCATCATCATGCACGTCATCAAAATCTAACCCCTCACAGACTTGATACTGCTGGGCCCTCCAAGCGCCAAACAACGGGTTCTTGGCCCACTTGACATGGCCATCATCGTCATGTTCAAAGACGACATACCCGGGCTGCGGGTCAGCATCATCGTCCTCATCATCCTGCGGAGAAGAACGCGCTCCCTCGGGGCCCGTGACTAACCGCCCAAAGCCCGGCAGCGCCACATTCGGCACATGGCCTCGGGCCTCGACGTGCCCGTTGCCGACATTATTGACAGTGATCAGATAGACAGGGGGTAAGGTGGCGTCGCGGTCAGCTCTGAGCGGCATGGGGATCCAGGCCTCGTTGTTGAAGGATTCTGTGCGAGACGGGTCGTGGCGCAGAGGCAGCGGGCGTGAGAGGAGCACATCGTCTAGCTTTCCCGTGTCGAGCAGCATGCCCGGATTCTGGACGTACAGGACGCTGTCGTACTGCATGAACTGGATCTGGCCGAGACGTAGCAGCTTGGTGTCGGTGGGAGCGTACCCGGCGGAGGTGGCGGCTGTCATGTCGATAGGGAGAAGCCAAATGCCGTATTTGAGGCTTGCGTCGCGCAACAGGGACAGTGCGGTCGAGACGGGCTCGGAGAGCTGGTTGGTGGCGGCCATCATGTCCCATTCTTGCGGGTACATGAAGAGACGGTCTTGGACGGCGGTGCCGTTGGAGGCGAGCTGTTTGAAGAACAGGATGGCCGAGCAGATGTTGGATGGGTCGGGGTGGGAGAGGAGTTGGAGATAGGCGTAGTTTCCGCCTGTCGGGGACTGGGTGTGACCACTATCGTCTGGGTTGTCGTCGGAGACGAGATCGGATAAGAGGCTTCGCTTTGTGCCCTGGAATGACGATTCTCCTGATCCGTGGCCTATCTTGGGCTCTGGGGGCGCAGGAGGACGAAGCGCATGCTGGATGTTTCGGACGGATTGTTGCTGTAGCGTGTATCCGGAGAGAAAGAGGAGGATGGTGAAGATGGAGATCACCCCTGTCGACAAAATGACTGAGACAGTGGAGGAAGTCAGAAGCACCATGATTTAGATCGACTCTAGGGTGTCTGCATTGGTTGGTATGTGTGATGTCTTGTCGGTCGTCCCAAGTATGTGAGTGTGTGTACTGAGTAGATGCTTAGTATGTAGATGCCTTTCTTGGCGTGAAAAGCAGCAGCGAACTCGCAGATATGCAGATCCCCGTTCAATTGTAATCCTTCTCTTCAGTGATACCAAATCAATCTCGTTAAGTCGTAAATCATGCAAGAATCAAACAAACAAGAAGGATGATGTCGCTCATGTTTCAGCGCGGGTTCGTTTACTCGACGGTTGTCGGCGCGACTATCGATAAGCCGTGTCTTGGCACTGTCATCTCGGTCTGTCCGTCAGGTCTTTTTCCTTCCTCTCCACCTCTCCGACCACGCCAACTAACTGCTGCCACCACCACCACACCACACAACCATGGCATCCCACCGTGCCGATGCCAGCACCTTACTCGACAACCGCGGTTACAAAGGCCCTCTAATCCGCGGCGTCAACCCGGCCACGCTCTTCGAAAAAGCCGTCCGCGACCGCATCACAGACTCCTACTACTGGAAAGAGCAATGCTTCGGTTTAAACGCAGCGACACTATGCGATCGTGCCGTCGAATTGACCGCCCTCGGAGGCACGCACGGTGTGGCTGAGAAACCCACCCCGTTCCTGTGTCTCGCGTTCAAGCTCCTCCAACTCAACCCAGACCACGACATCGTGCTCGAGTACCTGAACTTCACGGACCCTTTTGGCGAAGATGACGAAGGAGAAGGAGAAGGAGGAGAAGGGGAGGGGGCGCATACTGGCCTCAGCCCGGAGGAACAGGCGCAGCGCAGCGTGATGAAGCAGAAGGGCGACTTCAAGTATCTGCGCGCGCTGGCGGCCTTCTATATCCGGTTGACGTTTGACGCGGTCGACGTGTACAAGGCGCTGGAGCCGCTGCTTCTCGACTACCGGAAGCTGAAGCGAAGGATGGGTGACACTGTGGTCTTGACGTACATGGATCAGTTCGTCGACGACCTGTTGACTAAGGATCGTGTGTGCGGTACCAGTCTGTGGAAGCTGCCGTCGCGGCAGCAACTGGAGGACTTGGATCTGTTGGAGGAGCGTGAGAGTCCGTTGGCGGCAGAGCTGGAGGAAATGGACCGGGAGAGCGAGGACGGGGAGGCGAGTGAGACGAAGTCGGCGAGGAGCGCGGGCGATGATTGAATTCTCGGTCGTCGTTTGGCGCGGTTTTTCGCCGGTATTAAATCTTTGTTGGCTCGGCAAGGTCAGAATGGGCTCTCTGGCACTTGCTTTGACCTACAAACTCGATAGGTCGTTCCTTTCTTGTGGAAAGGCGACTCGGTGGCCAAATACTTGCGCGCCTCCGCACAGGCTGCGGCCACCCACACTAACGTCCCATGCTCCACCGGCCTGTGTTAGTCGGTTACGCTCGAGGCGATCGTTCCAACATGGGACGCGCGATATCACTTCGCAAATCTTGATACTGAGGATGAAATGATGTCTGTCGGAAAGGCGCGTCCATCCTTTTCGGTTGTTGGGACGATCAGTGTACTACAACAATATCTGGATATCTAACCCCGACTTATTGCTGATTATCTATACCAATTTGGACCTTGTGCTTTTTTTTTTCTTTCGTGATGTCATTCGCGCTATATCTCGGTTACAATCAGATTTCCTTTCTGCAAGCAAAAGCTCCACTTAATCCATCAAGCACTCTATGTATGATACCCTTAATACTTCATCAGAACCCTTGCTGTCGGTGCCATTTGTCCTGCCAGCCCTTGAACCACGGACTATCTTCCAGAGTAGCCACCTCGCAGCCCTTAGGCACCAGCCCATTCTCCTCTTGCTCCTTGACCCACTCTTCCAATTTCGGCAGAACGACGTGCTCCACGTGCCATGTACTCTTGTATTCCAGCAAATTCTTCTTACCCTTCGTCAGTATCTCCGCCAAGAGCGCAGGTACGCGCGGCTCGTCACGAAACTCCGTCACGGGCGTGAAGAGCGCCTTGAAGTTGAAGACAACAGCCGCCGAGAGGGGAAGACGCCGAAGAGTCTGCCAGTCGACTCGCAGATGACAGTCTTCGAGGCAGAGGCTCGGGTCTTGAGACAGCCTGAGCGCCTCGTGAGGGTCGTCTTTCGGCATGTACAACGGTTGACCTACTTCCAGGCCCCAGGAGCCTCTTTGGATCGGCTTATCGGATGGCATTTTCTTGAAGAATCTGTGGGAAGTCTCAGTACAGATCACATTTAAGGTGACTTTCCCTCATCTAGGGGCCATTCGGTCGAGCAGAGGGACACTACCGATCCATAGAGAATTGCATTTTCTCTCTATAATCCGGAATGGGCTCGTGGATTTCATGAAGCTGAAGACCAATCTTGGTGCCCAAGTTCCAGCCCAACGCAGAGCAGATCACTCCCGCACGCAGAAAGTATTTGCTGGTCTGGTCGTCTCGCAACATGATGCCGAAGTCTTCGGGGATGTTGTCAAGTAAGATCTCCAAGGGGTGTTTGGATCGGACGTCTTGCGCTGTATCCAGGATTTTATTATGAAGGATGCGTTTGTCAGACAGGGAGAAGTACTGGGGATAGCGAGCGCAGACAAATTGCAGAACCATTTCCATAAGTTCCTTGCATGCTAGCTCGGAGCCAGGGAGAGCTCCCAAGACAGAGCTTCCGTGTTTCGCGTACAGTTCTTTGCGCTGTGCAATGCGCTGCTTGTAGGTGTTCTCGAGCTCGATCCACCAGTCTAGTTCCAGTTTTGTGAGGGCTGCGGTATGTGTAAGATCAGCTATCTTTCACCTTGTCCATCGACAATCATGTCCGTCGACCCCGACAGGGGAAGAAGAGGAAACATACACATAGTCTGATGGTAGGCCCATCTGAATGGACGGTATGGTCTTGGTAGGGCTTTGTCGATATCAAATTCGAGGTACGACTGGGGCAAAGGCACGCCGCTTAGCTCCGCGTAGTCCGGAAAATCGCCCAAGGCCTTGATTTCGGAAAGCGAGAATCCCATCGGGGTGTATTTTTCATCTTCACAGGTCCGGTAGTCCGTTGTCATCGGTAAGATCTGCTCCCGAACCTCTTTTTCGTCTATCGCCCTGTACGATACACCTTCCATCTCCATGCTGGCCAGAACATGTCGGCGCTGGGGCGGGAGAACATCGGCATGGTTCGTTTTCGATGCAGCGTTGGCAGACGATTTGTTATTGGGCGATATCGTCCGCGGGGGAGTTGCGCTTGATGACGCTCGGCGATGATGGAGGTTGATTCGACGCCAAAATGATTTGCCCTGAATTCCGTCGACAACAATGCCTAGTCCTGTCAGTCCGATCAGAACGAGGCCCAGGAACCAGAAACTTTCTGGCAGATTCAAGGGAAACATGGTTAATCATTCCATAAGGCGAGAAAATGGATTGTTGAACGGTTGTGAATTGTTTGACAAGAGACGGTGCCAAGAGAATACCAGAGCATGCGAACGTTCAAAAGCAAGGACCGTGTGCTTCAGAAACAAGATCGAAGAGAATGGACAGTTGAAGGGCATTCAAATACTGGTCACAAGCAGGGCACAAAGAACCACCCTCGCATCAAATAACCCTAGAGGGACCGCAGAGCAAGCTATCCCGGATCAATCGCATAAAACGTCCCTTCAAGGTAGCAGTGACACGAGCGCATTAACCCGGTCCTGATCGGTGGTGCGGATATGACGATAAGAGCCATGGCAAAGCTTCCTGATACGGCCACTGTCCTTATCTTGAATGCCTTCTCGTGGGCGTACCGATCGACCTCCCAAGGTCAACGTTAGGGTGCAAGGACGCGGCATGTAGGGGGAGGTTGGTTCGCTAATTGGTGTTATACATCGGCGTTTAGACCTATAACAGAGCATTATATCAAGGTCAGCTGGTACTGCATTTGTGGCACTACATCTGGTCCATCATTAGAAGGAAGACAATGTGGTGGCTTTAATCCTGTCCGGTACGTCAGGATTCTGCTGCAAAGCAATTAAGCAAAGAGCCCCGTGGCTGGACGCACGTTCATCTTTTAATACAGCTTTTTGTAGTTCATCGAGTTCCCTCTTCTTTCTAAATAGGCCTATATGAGCTCAATCAGCGAAAGGTACCCTCTCCAGGCTATGCAGTGCTATGCAGGAAGTGAGGGGGGCTCACTTACCAATGCATAACCTACAGCTAGTCAACACTGTTTGTGATTTGTCCGATCTTTTTGAAGCGACGTAACAACCACAGATAGGAGGAGATCAGCGAGGGTCAAGTTAACTGAAGGGGAAAAAATAGAAGGGCCTCCGCATTGCCCGAAAGGGTAAAATTGTCCTGTTCATTGACGAGGGTCACATGTCTTCTATGTACCTCAGACTCTCCGTCTAAGCATCAAGTTGTGATCAACTTGAAATTGGCATTCAACAGTTCCTAAACAGCCGACACCAGCGACTTTGTAGTAGTGCCATACCTCATACTTTGGTCGCCTTTATCAACCCGACGATATGATAGAACGATAGTCCTCGATTTCTGTAGCCTCTAAAGGTTGGGAACTAACTCTTTGGTCCTATATAAGCTCAAATCCACAGTTGATATTTGAATTAGCCATTGTTCATACCCAGAGCCTAAAAGCCGATCCTTATACCAAACCCTCAAACAACAAATTCACAAACTCTCACAATAGATAGACAGATGAGATCCTCAAATCCACCCTTCTCGAAGCAAACTAACACACCCACAGCTCTCCGCCCACAAGACTTATACCAAAGCTAAACCAGGAGCGTTAGCATTATCTGCACATCAGAGTCAAACGCAGATACGATATAAACTCTACATCTAAGGATGACACGAGGGAACCGAGTTCTCTAGCAAGCGACGAACTGTAAAGTCGGCCTCTATACGCATGCGTTGTTCATCGCAAAAGCATAAATAACAGACTAGTAATACTTGCGCTGGGCTCCATGAGTTAGAGGGTAATAGGAATCGACTGGATGATGCTGCGGGAGGCGTACGTATCCGTGTCGTGTACGCCCGTATCTTTGCCATCGTCCATAGGAACATTATTATTTCATGGTATTCTGAGATTACTACCGCCGCTATACCCGAAGGCACAGAGCACGAATTACTTGATAGTGGAGAGGCGCCGTCATGTCGGCGCTATGACACAACCGGGAGGGACCGTTGCTTGAACCACGCAATTACGGCAAGTGGATACGATAAATAGCGAGGGCCGTGCCGTTGAGTCCGGACCTTAGGTTGTGTCTTAGGTTGGAAGCAGGAAACATGGCACGGCATATTGGCATTCTCGGAGTCCAGGCCATTTGTCGAAGCCGTGGCTTTAGATACACACGCTGCAAACTCCCTTGTATAATGCTTCACGCTGCTAGCACGGCCTTGAAAGCGGCCTTGTAAATTGATGCGAGCTATCACGAAATGCAAATAGTAAAGATTACACAAATTGGGATATTCCCATTGCCAACTCTAGCGCTCGAAAATAACCCAAACACCGATTCAACACATTCAAGAGCGCCACCTGATCCTAACAAAACAATCACGGAAACAAATAAGGAACCAGACCAGAGAGAAGAAAAGGAGAAAAAACGATGGTAGGATACTGATAGTAGGAGGATGGAGGAGGGAAGAAAAAGGAAAATATGCCAAACACGCTGATGAAATTAGTGATGTATGTACGGTGGCTGTTGCCAGTGTTGATGTACACGGATAAGTTCCACAAAAGAGGCTGGTCGAGATGATACCAAAGTTGATGGTACAGTAGTACTTCATGTAGCTACCTTTGTCGCGGAGTTTTCGAAAGATTCGTCTTTCCTCGAGGTGAATACAAAACAATAGATTATCTTTCGGAACTTGGGTTTGGGAAGCTCGAGGCAAGGCTGGGAGCTTAGCACGGCGCGAGGCTGCTCCACGGGGCCGTGAACGGCGGCAAGACCAGGGCATATCCCATCTCGAGTTCAACAGGTAAAAGATAATACGAAAGATCATGTGACAAATGGGTATCATAAAACCGCTGATTTCGGCGAAACACGCAAATCAAGATGAATATGAGAATGCAAAATGCGAATAGAAGACAATGTGTCGGAGATATGAACCGATCAGTCGGGGTTCGTCAACTGTCGTGAACCGTTAGCCATACAAGTGCCTGTGAATCAATTCCAATCAGAGCTTACCCGTAGAACTGGTCGCGAATAA